ACAATGCCAGCTCGGAGTTCTATCAGCTCCATATCGATCCGAGCGCGTTCCAGCAGTATCTGAAGATTGACCTCGACTTTGCGGCGCAGTCGGCGAGCTCGCCCAGCTGCTGCTATATGCCCGTGGAGCGTGTCACGGAGAAGGAGGTGGATCTGGGCGCCACATGCATTCCCTTCCAGAGTGGAGTGCAGCTGCGCAACATGACGATCGGCTTCCTGGTCGAGTGCTATGCGAATGGCAAAAGGATCTATACGAACGGGCACGCAACTGTGCCGGAGCGCGGGAACGTGCGTCGCCGGCTGCAAAAATGGACGGAGGAACGTGGAGGAGCTGCGCCCAGTGTGCTGCTCGTGGCCATGGACACGATCTCGCGGCAGCAGCTGATGCGAGCGATGCCCCTGACACGGCAATATCTGCAGTACACGGGCTGGTTCGAGCTGGCGGGCTACAACAAGGTGCGTCGCCGGATTGGCCAAATCTTCCACATTTAAAATCTTCGTTTCCAGGTGGAGGACAACACGTTGCCCAATGTGCTGCCTTTGACGACGGGCTACAATCGCAATAGCGTGAACCGCATGTGCAATCCGCATGAGGAGAAGGGTCTGGAACGTTGCACGTTCATCTGGAAACTCTATCAGGATCTGGGCTATGTGACGGCCTTCGGGGAGGATGACACGCCCATCAACACGTTCAACTATCTGATCAAGGGCTTTCGCCAACCGCCCGTCGACTATTATTTGCGTCCCTATCTGATGGCCGCGGAGCAGTGGCTGGACGGGAGCGGGAGCCAGCTGGAGCAGGATGCGCAACCGTGCCTGGGCTATCGGCATGCCGCGGAGCATGTGTACGAGTTTGCGCTGGAGTTCACGCGTCGCTATCGGAACGATAGCTTCTTTGGGTTCTTCTGGACGAACACGCACAGCCACGGGAACAGCATTAGCCGGACGAGCGCAATGGATCGGTATATGCGCACGTTCTGGAAGCGCATGTTCGAGCAGGGCACCATGGAGCAGACAATTGTGTTCTTCCTCAGTGATCATGGCCTGCTCGACGGATCCACCAGGCGGACGCCGCTCGGCTGGCTGGAGGAACGTTTGCCCTTTCTATATATTTGGTTGCCGCCGCATTTAAGGCAATCCCATCCGGAATTTGTCGAAGCACTGAGTCTGAATCGTCAACGTTTGACCAGTCCGTTCGACGTGTTTGTCACGCTGAAGCACATCCTCCGGCTGGCCAGTCCCAATGACCTGGCCCATTTGGTGGGCGATGCCGTCGATTGCCCCAGCTGCCAGAGCCTGCTGCAGCCGGTGCCGCTGGGCAGGACCTGTGCGGATGCCGGCATTCCGGAGCATTGGTGCACCTGCAGATCCTACCACATCTACAGCAGATATACGTCGGCGGATTATCTGATGGCCCAGTTGATGGTGCAGCATATTAATGCGCTTTTTGAGAAATACGGCGATGGAAAATATGCGGGTCTCTGCAAGCCCTTGACCCTGATGAACATCACCCGGGCCTCGATTGCCCGGCTTAATAATGCCGATAATCCGCGCATCTCAATACATCGGATACAGATCCAGGTCGAGCCAACAAAGTCGATTTTCGAGGCAACATTGAGCCACAATACCAGCTCCCAAAATATGGTGATATCAGGTTTTAGTCGTCTGGATGAACAAAAACCCTTTTGCTATGGAGAAAAATTGCAAGAATTTATTTGCGATTGTCGCTAGGAACAGCTGGGTGCTTGACTGGCTCGAGCCAGCCAAGATTAAGATTAAACTAAAACGGATTAATTGTCATAACCTCATTTACTTAACACTAGGATTGACCAGGTCTAAGGTGTATATATATATGTAAAATGTGTACTTACCTGAAAATTCACACAATTTTATTAGAATCTCTTAGTACGAGGCAGACAGACGTTTATATCACAGAAAGAAAAAGAAGTAGTTAATTTTAATTTCATTATACAATTTTTTAAATTCAAATTCAAACCAACCTGCGCCATATCATAAATTCGATATTTATAACAACTCGTCATCGATAGTTGCTCATCACGACTCGGTGGCGATAGTTGGTAACTTACAGATATTCATCGTCACGTGTTATCGTTGCTGATCGACAATCGTGCTGCCACTGCGTTATCGAATATTTTTAAATGCCTATATTTAAGAAAATACGCAATAAATTTATTTCTGTTGCCGGAAATGGAAAACAATACTTGTATACTTGAGTTAATAATAATAAGAAAAAAAAAACACTTGTTGAAATTGTAAACATATTAGTAGCAAATTTAAAACAGATAAATTTCCAGCTTTGATGGAATTGATATGCTTTAAATTTCAGAATTACTTATTAGAGACCCTACTTGCTATTAATATGATAAAGCTTTCGTAATTGTCATGGTAATTAGATTCACCTTATATATCACATGTATAATAGACGCCTTGACAATTGTCGCACTTGGTCCGGCGGCAGCTCTGTGAGTCGATCGGCTGCATTGCCTCGAAGTACTTGGAAACAATTGTTAAGATCTCGTCGCGATGCTCTACCAAAAATTCAAACGTAAAGTTCTCGTAATTGTTGATGCACTGCATCAAGATGCGATAGAGCACCGATTCCGTGGACAGAAATGTGTTCAATGTCCGTTCAATGCCATCGAGATACTCCTCGAGAAACTTGCGCACCAGCTGCAGGAGCAACTGCATCGACTGCTCACCAAAGTACTTGGCCAGAGCGTCGAGCACATCCAGCAAGCTGCCCACGTGGCCAATGTGCTGCACAAACTTCTCACCAAAGCATTTGCGTAACGAATCCACATTTAAATGCAGCTGTCCGTCAGAGTCCTGGCTGATGAGCGAAGCGCCCAGCGCAGCCAGCGTGGCGGCACCTTCACTCAAATGCCTGTGAATTTTGTGCATGCCCAGCAGCACCTCCTTAAAGGGTATATCGTTCAGGGTGCGCACCATATCAAACTTCTGGCCAGCACAGTCGCTGTGCAGCTTGGCCGACTCCTCAGCAATTTGCCCAAACACTTTTCTGCAAGCAAATTAAACTTAATTAGCGCAAGTGTCTGATTAGATGGAGTACAACATTACCTGGTCTGATTGCTGACGGCGTGGCGCAAAGATTGGCCATTGGTCGCCTGCCTGGCGAGGCGCAGATTGTTTATGGAGTGCGTAAAGATGACCAGACTGGCGGCTATTTGAAGCACATCGAGGCTGCTCAGCGGCTGATCATCGCTGATTTTCTGCAACAAGAGAAAAGCATGTTCAAATCGGGCCGTGAAATACTCTGGAAGCAACAGTTAAAAGAGGTGGAAAGGGAACTTCTTTCTGGTGATTAGAAAGGAAGATGTTATAACCTTGTACAAAACCCATATACCCCTTTTCACTTTGCTTACAGAGTATACGAATTGATGAGAACAAAAGCTCGACTCACCAAATACAAATCGTAGACGCCATTGGCCACACCCGTGCCGGATAGCACAATCGACGACACATTGATGCCCCTCACGGCCAGCTGAGCAGCCGCATTGACTTCGGTGCGCGCCACGCTGAGCGCCGTGCTGGCGCCTGCCGCGCCCAGGCCGACAACGCCGCCGGCCACGCCCAGCCAGCTGTTGCGCGATTCGTTGTCGAGCAGCGATATGGACTGTCCGTGTTGGCGGCGATCGTGCAGACAGCTGACGGAGCGCACGGTGCTGTAGGCAGCCGCCGTGACGCCCACAACGGTGGCAGCCAATAGAATTGTGGGCGCCACAGGCAACGCCAGAGCGGCAGCGACTGGCACGCTGGCGGCCAGGCCACCAACTGTGGCCAGAGCATCGCCAGCTTTGAGTAGTGCGCGTTTGGAAGCGGGCGTGGCATGCACCATGAGGTGCACGCCATTGTCCTCGTCGTTGGTGAGCCTGTAGATGCCCTGGCAGGGCGCTATCATTGTGCCCTTGGGCAGCGTATTGTTGTAGACATATTGCCGCCAGTTGGCATAGACCCGACCATGCTCGTCTATGAAGATCATGCAGCAGTTGTCGCTATTCTCGCTATCCTCCCGCACGCATTTGCGCGTCCGGATAACGGGATGACAGCTGTAGCTGGTGGCATGCAGCGCCAGCTCCGGATCCGTTTCACTTGAAACCAGCACGTAGATTATCGCCGAGAGTAGCATGCGATTTGTATAACTCCGCTGTCGCCAAACATTCTCAAACACTTTCTGACGTCGTCTGGCCAATGTTTTGCTCTGCTTTGCCGTATTCCCGCTGATTAGATGCTCAATCTTTTGCATTAGCACTTCGCCCTGATCTGGCGCAAGTCTGCAAGAAAATCATATTAGATGGTTTCTTATTGGATATTGCAATTTACTTACGCATCCCAGATTATTTCCGAGCGCAGTCCGCTGCTCAGTGCAAAGTCCCGTTGCACCTCATACACAGAGCGCGTCATTATTTAATTGCTTAAAACGATGCGCAATAAACGATTTTAAAATGAATTCGATCATCTGTTCGTTGTTATTCGTTTAGTTGCCTGGGCAACCAGCAGCTGACTGCAGCAGTCACAAAACTGCACAAGCATACGAAAATGTATGCAAGTGTGCGAACGTAAATAAGTGTGCCACAATATTAAAGGAGGGATTTTTAAATTTATTGTATAGTTACTATTAAAGCTGCAGCCCTGACGATACAAAGTACTTAACACAGGGCCGTTAAATCAACTATACTATTTCGATAGAACCGCAAAATTTTATCGATACTTCTGTGTTAATTGGCACAGCCCTGGCATTTTGTTTATAACTAAGTACGCGCAACTGCCGGACACAGCTATGCGAACGTGTGCACGACAATTTTACAGTTTAAATTCAATTAAAGCAAACAAACACTGACTAAAATAAAATTGAAGTGCGCCAAATGCAGCAAGCCAACTACAATTACGGGCAATTTACGTAAGAATTAACAAGAGTGCGCAGTGCGAAGACAGCACCCAAATTGAACAAACAGCGTTGTTGGCCAAAACTACCCAAAACCGCACACGCACACACGCGTACGAATACCAAGAACAAACAACCACACATATATACATATGTCTGAATGTATGAAAAAATACATATATATATAGACATATATAAGCCGCAAGTAACTAACAATTGACATTGTGGCCCACCTGTTTGTTTATGACGGCGGCTAAAACTTAAGAAAACAACGTACAATTGTTAACAAATTGCGTATGCATGTGTCACGCATTAGTTGTCGCCGTTGATAATAACAATAGAGCTTATGTACATGCATGTACATAACCCTAGGCGCACTTAAAAGGCAACCAACAAAAAACCTCGCTGGTCGCGTGTCTTATTTACATCAACTTATTTATGGCTTCAAATGCACAGCTCGGAAAAATCATTTTGTTAATCGCAATTGCCGTTTTTTTCTACTACTTCTTTTGGGTGGCAATACTGCCGTTTATGATACTCGATGAAGGTGAGTATCAAAACAAACACTTCTATGTGTGTGTGTGTGTGTGTGTTCGTGTGTGTGTGTGTGTCAATATTATTGTTAGCTTTATTAAATAATCTCGGCTTTCATTCGCCGTCCCATCCAGGCATCAGTCTCAGCTTCGCGGCTTTTGTGCGGTAATTAAAGTTCCGCAGATTAAATTCGTTTTGTGCGACAAATATACAACGGTACATATACTATATACAGATAGACCCTACCCCCTCACCCCCCCTCCTCCGCGTGTTGTTGAGTTAATGATGATGTAAGGTGTGTGTGTGTGTGTGTGTGTGTCTGGCTTTTTTATGGTTCGTTCTATTTGGCCGCAGGGGTTGCTAACATTAATTTTTTTTTAATTTTGTTTTTTTTTTACTGCCAATCAGCTAAATAGAAAGCTGCCACTTTCTAAGCTTAATAACTAATAATCATTTTCTAAGCTTTTAAAATATTGCAAACTAGAATGTGTTTTTTAAATATAATGATGTTTTGCAACACGTACAGTGCTCACTCGCTAATTGCTACGCTCAGAACTGTAGAAATTTGAAAACATTTCAGAGAGTATTCAGATTTGATAAAAAAAAATATGTATAGCATAGAAGATGAATCTATAAAGCATATATATTATATTATATATATTTATTATTATTATATTAATTAATATTGACAGTTGGGGCGATTTGTCTGCCTGTCTCTTAAGCATAATAATTTGCTATAGGCAGTGCATATATTACAGAGTGAGCCAGATCGAGCCACTATATCATATAGCTGCCATGGTAACTAAATATCGGAAATGAAATTTTTGAATGAAAACCTCCTCCAGATATCTTAAGTAAAGGCAGAAATAGCTGCCAGAGAAACAATCAACAAATGAGTTATTTTTATAAAATAAATAAAATATTAAATGAATAATAATAAAAGCTATTAATGCCAATTATTCATATAGAAATATGCCGCACAACTATATATTTTCAAGGGTGTTTCAACTTTGTCAATGATAACAGTACTTTCGGCTAATTTATTGCGTTCTGTTTTTAAACACATGCTCTAAAAATAGAATTTGACTAAAACATGAGCATAAAATTGCCCTAAAGCAAATATTATGTTAACAGTTTAGTAGATTTGTTTAGTTAAGCATGAAAATAAATGTGTTTATTAAGCAAAGATAATTTTGTTGTTGTAATTGGCACAGTTGTGCACATTAGCGAGCGACCACTGTACCTAGGTATGCCACGTGGCAGTTCGAATTAACACAGTCAATGTCAAGGTCGTTTTATCCATCTCCCTCTAACGCGCTCTCTCTCTTTTGCTCTCTCTCTCTCCCTCTCTTGTAGGTAATCCCATATTGTCGCTGTTCCCGCCGCTAAAATACGCGTTCATTGTGCCCACCGTATTTGGGGTAATCTGCCTGGGCGGCATCGCCGTATTCAGTTTCTATCACATTTGGAGCATTACGCGGCAATCGAAGCGAAATTAAAGATTGACCCCCGGCCGCTGTGAAAAACAGACGCACATGAGGCGACGTCAATAGAGGGTCGCCGTCGGTCTCTCCGGCATTATCAGAGATCAAGCGATTACAAGCAGACGCAGCTGCTGTTGCCGCTGCTGCTGCTCTGGCCGAGGCTTCAGTTGGAAGCAAGATGCCACAGTGGCTGGTCATCGGCATCTCGGGTGTCACCTGCGGCGGCAAGACGACGCTGGCGAAAAGTTTGCGCGACTATTTCAAGGGTTTGCGCAACGCCCCACTGTGGAACACACCGTATACCATTGGCGAGGTGCAGCTCATTTCGCAGGACGACTACTTTCTGCCCGTCGACGATAGACGCCATAAGCGCGTCGAGAAACTGAATGCCATCAACTTTGAGCTAATCACCTCGCTGGACACCAAGCAAATGCTGGCCGACATAGCGCACATCATCAACGGGCCCACGGAACAGATCGCTGCCTACGCCAACTTCGAGCACTACGCGCTGCAGTACCAGCAGCAGCAACAGTTGCAGCAGCAGCAGCAACAGTTGCAGCAGCAGCAGCAGCAATATAATGCGGCATATTATCAGCTGCACAATGGCAAACAATTGCCTCCGGCTGTCTATCAATATCAGCCGCAGCGACAGCCACAGCAGCAACAGTTGCAGGCGCAGCAGCAGCAACAGTTGCTGGCGCAGCCTCATCACCGGCAGCAGCAGCAGGCGGATCATCTGATGCGTCTCAATATCAATGCACAGATTGCCGCCCAGCTGCGCGATAAGAAAATCAACGTGCTGCTAATTGAGGGCTTCATGATCTTCAATCAGCCCGAGCTGCTGGCGCTCTGCAATCTCAAATATCACTTCCATTTGCCGTACGAGAAGTGCTATCAGCGTCGCATCCAGCGGACTTACGATCCGCCCGATGTTACCGGCTATTTTGAGCTGTGCGTTTGGCCCTACTACGAGAAGAACTATGCCGAGTATCGGGATTGCAAGGATATTACCTTTCTCAATGGCGAGATTAGCAAGGAGAAGATCTTCAAGTTTGTGCTGCAGCGTATTGTACACTATTTCGAGGAGCGTTGCGATGTGCCCACCGTCGCCGTCGCGGCAGCAGCTGCTGCTGCCACATCTCCGATTGCCTGTCCGCCGCACCAGAAGCGATTCGGCATGCTCTACATGGCGGCGGCCACGGGGGCGACAGCGGCGGCGACGTGTCCCATGGAACAGTAGCCAAAAGGAAACTAACCTAGATATAAAAACCATGTACATTTAAATCCTAGTTGAACCCTGGAATTATGCATCCTTCACTAATCTTAAGCTAGCTTAAAATGCGACACATTCTCTCTAGAGTCTAGAAAATAAATCTGGTTCAGGAATACATTTAGCTGTGCTAACTATATAAACTATATATATAGAAAGAAGGATAACAAAATCACATGAATGAAATTCAATATATATTAGCATTAAATATATTAGACCCTAAAAGAAATATTTAAGTCGGCGGTTTGGAAAGCGTATTAACCAAATGTAAATATTATCTGTATAAACTATAAACTATAGTTATTTTTTTTCTTGTGCGAAGCAAAACACACCGAATTAAAGTATACACTAAACGCCTGGACGAAAAGAGCCGAAACCACATTTCGTTTGCATTGCTAAATTTGTAATTTTTATTTTATTGCATGTGTTTTTTTTTTTGCTGCTGCGCTCACACGAGAGTTTTAAATGGGGAAAACGGATTGAGTGCGGTGCCTCGAACACAAACGTTGAAAATGAAAAATAAATACATTATATATATATATATATAGAATATATAGAGAAGAAGTATGCACGATTATTGAATATACAGAGTACACTATCGAACGGGTTGGATTAGCTCTGCATGCACGAATTTATTGCCAATTTGTTGAATGAGTTGGGCTGGGTTTCGATTATATCAATGTCGACTTTATATGCTTAAAAAGTATGTTAATAACTTTATGCTTAATTACGCTGCGTCCAGTTGCAGCTGCAAAAGAGGAGAGATTAGGTTAGTCCGAGAGGCTCCCTTGGAGAGTTGATTTGCACCCACCTTAGAGCGCATCCCAGTCGGTTTGACTGTTGTACACCTCCTCCTCCAGCCAGACGGCATAGTTGGCCTTAAAGTAATCGGTCAGCTCGACCTTGCGATCCCACCAGCCCGAATGGCCAAAGAATGCAAAATCTGAATGCGTGAGTATCTCATCGCTGGGAAAGCCACCTTCTACGCCGTAATCGTGAAGCTGCTGGTTCTGCTGGCCGCTGCTGTTGGTGTTGCCGCCGCTGCTTCCGTTGTTGCCATATCCATTGGAGTCGCGATCGCCGCTGCCATTGCCCGCATGCATATTGGATTGCTGTGCATTTTCGGCATTCTGGGCGGCGGTGCCGTTGTTGCCTACACCGACTCCGCCGCCGGCGCCGCATTTTTGTGTAGCCTCCGGATAGCGGCGCAGGTTGAAGCGATCGACACAGGCGCGCAGGGTACACTCCTCGGCCTGGAAGTCCCAGGGTCGCGACTCGAGATCATTGCCAAAGGCCCAGTCATCGTTCAGGCGATGCCGCACCTTCGAATAGATGGCACTCAGAGTCTTCATGTTGGATTTGCGCCACTGTCGACCCAAATATTTCGTTTGCATCTTCAACAGCTTCAGCACGTACAGCTGCATCATGGCGTGCCGCACCTTGAGCGTCTTCTTTAAGATGGGCGCCGACTTGAAGACGACCAACATCATGACGCGCGAATGCTTCCACTTGATCAGCTTGTTAAGAATGCGCAGCAGATTGATGCACGAGAAGACATTGCGCCAGGAGTACGGCTTATCGGACATCTCGCCGCCGTACACAAAGCTATCGCCGCTCAAATCCGGCTGCTCACCGATCACACAAGACGGAAAGTCCAGCAAGGGTATTGAATTCTTGGTGTTCACATATTCCGTGATGGTCTGGTTGAAGAACTTCAGCACCAAGGGGATGCAGTTGGCAAACACCAGATGCTGGGACATGAACTCGAACTGATAGACATGGTTGATCTTGAAATGCTTCAGATAGAGCAATATTATGGCCGAGACAGCCTTCACAATTATTTCCTTATGGCGGCCCATATCGACGGTCAGTTTGGTTGACTGTGTCGCGGTCAGCGGCATCTTCTTCGGCAGCACATCGGCCATTATGTTGATGCTCTCCGTCTTCGACTTGGATGTGGGCGAGGCGGCCAGCAAGACCTTCAACAGCGCTATCATATATTGCGGCAGATTGGGCAATATGGCCTGGTAGAGTATCTCGGCCGGCGTCAGCTTAATCTCGTCTTCGTGCGTTGAAATGGGATTGCGTGCAATGTCCTCCTCCTTCTTGATCTGCATGTCCGCCAGACTGACATACATGTGACGCTGCAGCGTCTTGAAGCCCTCGTGAATGGGCTGCGGCAGACCCGCCAGACTCTCGTGATCCCCAATCAGCGAGTAGCCAATAAACTTGTTGCGCGATATATCCAGAAACTGATCAATGTCCTTCTGGCGCACCTTTGGCGTCCACGGCAAACGCGCCGTTATCTGCACGGCCGGCACTGCGGCCGGAGGCTGTGTAAGACTTGGTTGATTGTTCGGATTAGCTGTTGCCGTGTTGCTGCTGCTGCTGCTGTTGTTGCCCGACGACGTGGAAGCGGAGGGATCATCAAAGGGCCGATAGTACTGGGAGAGGTCGTCTTCGCCATTGCCCGTGCCGGTGCCAGTTGATGAGTTGCCATTGTTGGCATTTGGACCGCCCTCATTGCCCGACAGCTCCATATCGATTTGCTCCGGCTCGTCCAGGAAGCGTTGTTTCATTAGCGAACGCCTAGAATCAAATGATAATAAATATCTAAGTAAATGATCAAAAATAAAAAGAACGTACTTGAAATTCCGCTTGGGATACTGATTCTCCAATATGTCCGTTGCCGTCGCTGGCGGTGAACTGGCGCGCATGCATTTGGTTACCTCCAGTGTGTCCTCGGTGATCGGTTCCAGCCCGATCTTGGCTCTGTATTCGTTCTTTAGATTCTTCAGCACTTCCATGCCGCCAAGTCCCAGCAGCGAAACCTTCCACAGCAGCAGCACAACCTTCTTCATGGGAAACTGTGGGGCAGCGCCGCTACAGAACCGGGTAATCATGCCCAGCAGCTTGACGGCGAGCAGCTCACCGTCGGGCAGCGGGCTGTTGATCTCCTGCACAAAGGACTCGGCCAGCTGCTTGTAATCCTCACTGCCCTTTTCGCGCTCATCGCGTATTGTCTCCGTTATGATATACAGCACCGAGAGAATGACCCGTATATCCGTTGAATCTACCAGCGTCACGTTGGTAATCTTGACCGCCACAATATCTGGAGAGCAAGCGGTCTCGATCTCCATGTTGAGCAAATCAATGAACGAGGAGAAGACGCCCAGCTGATAGAGTACAATGACATTGTCGCGCGTATTCTGATGCTGCTCCTCGTCCGATTGCACCTCGGCCCAGCAGCCCTGTGCCAAGTACAGAATGCAGCGTGCCGCCTGCATGCGAAAGGAGCGATCCGATACCTCCAATTGATCCACCAGTTTCATCACAATGCTGCGCTGCGAGGCGGCGTCCTGTTTCTGCCAATTTGGCGGCAGATCATATAGCTCCATTTGGTCCTCAAATGCCTTGACATTCATTTGGAATTCACTGAATTCCGTGTAACTGTAGAGCTCGGCGATTTCATTTTGATAGCTATCCACATCGGCGTAAACGAAATCCAGATCAGGCCCATCACAATTGGCATCCACGTCGTGAGTATCCTGCTCGAACGAGTTGTTTATGGATGAAAGCATCATTTAGAGGCTGTTCTGGACAAGCTGCAGCAAATATATGTATGTGTAGATGTGTATGTGTGTGTGTGTATGTTTGTGTGGAAAACTGTATCCTGGCTTGGCAGTACGGCTGCTAAGGGCACGCCCTTTAGTCAATACACTTTGCCAAAAGCGCGCATAATACTATTTATGCGTTAAACACTGCATTTCACTATAAATTTTGCAAACATAATTATTCGGCAGACTATCACAAAAAATCAAGCACAAAAGAAGAAAATTTTAAGTGTGACCAAACTATGATTGCGATTAAATACCATACACTACGATATATCGATATGCACACTGCGATAGCAATATCGATACTCGAATTGCGCCCGTTGCCTCCCACAGCAGCTATTTATTTGTGTTTTCACACAGTGCCGGCAGCAGTTTTCATTTGAGCTTCATAACAAAACGATTACGAAAGAAGTAAGAAATATTACACACATAATCAAAAAGCATAACATATATCATTTGTGGAGTGTCCGTGTCCAAAGAGCATAGCTAGTGCCCTTTTGGTTGGCTGTACTTTGTACTCTCAGTGCATATCAGCGTGAGCTTGCAGATTCTTATTGGCACAGTGACTACCAGCTGCAAGCATATACATACATATATATATATATCCATATATAGAACTACGTTTCAGAATCAGAAATTGTGCATTTGTAATTAAAAGAAAATGGCTGGCCGTTCAATAATATCCCTTCTGCTTGGTGCACTGGCCACGGCCTTGGGCTCGTACATCTACTTCACCAATCAAGTAATTACAATTTCTAACTACTGTCACGCACACAACTACAACTACAGTTCTATCGAAAAGTTTGTTTGCATGCCCAGTCAAATGTCGCGTGAGGGCTACTAATACGACGTTTAATCTAATCAACGCATTTTCCATATAGGTATTAAAAACAAAACATATCGGAATGTCAATATACAGTTATCTGCATACATGTTGACTACATGTTGACTCATACGTAATTTCAATATGACTTTGACCTTCACGACATGCAACCATTGTTGTGGCAGGGCATTTGCCGGCTGAGCTAGTTCTGAACAGTGTTGTCGGTTCCGATTTTTTCACGCCAAAATAGCTTTTTTTTTTTGTGCGGTTCCGATAGAATCGATTTTTTGAAGAATTTGAAATTATTCCGCTTTTGGAAAGTGCACGTAAACTAATTCAAGTCAAATCATAAATATGACATCTCTTGGTAGATTATCAACGCTTATCTTCCGAATTTGTTAAAACACGTCTAATATTTTTGATTATCATCATTACCTTCATTAAATTTTTGATTTTCGATTTGAACATTGACCATAATAAAGGTGATTTTATGAGTTGAGAATTTATTAAATGGCCCCTTTACGGTATTTATACTTTTAAATTGCAATAAAATATTTTCATCTAATATAAAACAATTTGAAGAAGAGTTTTTTAAAGAAGTTCCTGTTTTGGACATACAAATAACTACCTAAATTAAAATCTTAAGTGCTTTTTTCACACATTTTTAAAGTCAAATCTAGCTTCTTTTTTGAACTCCTTTGCAACTCGAACTAGCTGCTCTTTTTTTGCCGCTCGTCAACACTGGTCAACACTGATTTCCTAATGACTGATAATACAGATACGTGTGTAATCCTTATGACTATTTGCAGCCGTCTCCCGCTTGCAATTAAATATGAATTTCAGACACATTCAAAGCATAACACGGCAAACATTCAGGTGCTTCAAATTGCCAACAACAACAACAGCAACAACTCGTAATTTTGGTATAGCCAGGATTCAAATGAATCAGTGTACTCGCTATTGTGTTGTCCTTTTGCCATTGGTCGCCGTTGTCAGCAGTGTTGATTGCAGCGCGGATTTAGCAACGAAGTCCCAATACTCTACAGCAGCTGCCGTGAGTAGTCGTAGTGTGTGTTATGTAGTTGTTGCGACTAATCCTAAGACTAGCTACAAAAACTAAAACTCTGTTCGCCTTCTGTTGTTGCTTGCTGCCTTTGGTCTGACTGCATCTAAATTCGGTTTCTGCTTGTTTTCCCCTTGTGTTCAATTTCGTAATCAGTTGTAACGCCTTCTATTTGTTCCAGCTCGACATGTCTAACGGCGATTACAAGAACGCAGCGTCCATTTACGAGTTTACCGTGAAGGACACGCACGGCAACGATGTGTCGCTGGACAAGTACAAGGGTAAGGTTGTGTTGGTCGTCAACATTGCCTCCAAGTGCGGTTTGACCAAGAACAACTATCAGAAACTGACCGATCTGAAGGAGAAGTACGGTGAACGCGGCCTGACCATTCTGAATTTCCCATGCAACCAGTTTAACTCCCAAATGCCAGAGGCCGATGGCGAGGCCATGGTCTGCCATCTGCGCGACTCCAAGGCAGACATTGGCGAGCTCTTCGCCAAGGTATACAAATTGTTAATCAACTTGGAGCACATCTAATCTCTGTTCTCTTCCCCATTATAGGTCGATGTTAATGGCGATAACGCCGCACCGCTCTACAAGTATCTGAAGGCCAAGCAGACGGGCACTTTGGGCAGCGGCATCAAGTGGAATTTCACCAAGTTTTTGGTTAACAAGGAGGGCATCCCAATTAATCGCTATGCACCCACCACCGATCCCATGGACATAGCCAAGGACATTGAGAAATTATTGTAGATCTCTCTCTCTCTCTCTCTGTCTCTCTATATATATAGCTCCTAAGAAGAATTATCTAACTATCTAGCCTGCGTCATAAATTGTTTTGACTGTAGCTTATAAACTAGTCCTAGCTTCAAGTCTGGGCACATGCAGTGCATGTTCAAATTGAAATTGTATTATGGTTGCATATTTCGTAAAATTTACTTCAAATAAACGCAAATTATCTATGAAATCAAGTCTTTGCACTTACCTCCATGATGGCCATGCGCGCCTGTCGATAGAGCTTGGCCAGGATGCCGACGTTCATGATGACGCCTTCGCCCTCATTTTTGGGTTTACGCACCAGCTTGTAGTGTATCCAGACCATGTCATGTTCGTGATTCGTCATAAAATATATTTATGTATATATATAAATGTGAGCTCCTGTTAAAGGGTAATATTTTGTATTTGTGCGTTGAATAGTAGCTGAAATTTGAAATTTTGAATTACAAAATAGATAACTTGACTACTATATAATTTCTCTAAAATACAAGGCTAGAGCTACATTTTTTTTTTGTTTTTTTTTTTGGTTTTTGTTTATTTATTTAAATAATTATGTATTTTTTGGGTGCAATTAATCATTAAATTAATTAGTATTATTATTGTTTATATAAGGTTCATATATATTTATACGTATATATATAATTATATATCGACTTCAACTTGCTTTGTTTTGCTCTATTTTTCTTTGTTGTTGTTTATTTTTTTCTGCTTGGTTTACATATTCGCATTTTTAACCATATTTTCTCGTCTTTTTTAATACGCCTACTGCGTGCTGCTTTTTTTGTTTATTTTGTTTTTTTTTTTTTTTTGGTTTTTGTAAGTTAGTTCAACTCGTAAATTTGGGTTTTCGTTTTATTTTTAACATATACACACACAATTGTTATAGATTTGATTTGTTTTAACTGTTTTCACGGGTAAGTACATACATCATATATCGTATTCCGAAATGCAAAAAATAATTAATCAGAACGCACTTTTATTTACTGCACAAACACAAACATTGTCGCTAGTTAGAATATATATGTATTTTAGTTATTAGTTAAGTTTAGTCATAGTTCTTGTTGGAATGTTTATATGCATATGAGGTGTGAGTTGTGTGTGTGTGTGTGTGTGTGTTTGTGTTTTGTTTCTCTTTGTATGTGTTTGTATTATTTATTGAACAAAACTCTATCAATATTAAGCAATTGGCGACATATTGTACACGCTATCAATATTGCTAAAAATACCTGCACATTGTTTTTCTTTTATTTACTTTGTTTAAATATTTTTGTCCTATTTTTGGTTTTGTTCAATTTTTGTTATTTGTTCGTATTTGGTTTCCTGTGTGCCCCATTTTGTTGGTTGGCAAAGCACTTTGGGCAGGCGCTTGTTTAATTGTTAATAATTTGATTGTTTAAATATGTTTATATTTATTGAAACAAGTCAAATATATAGTATATGTATTAGGTGAGTGTGTGCTACAGTGTTGCCAAGTCAGCTAATTTACCTAAATTCGGCTATTTTCAGAGGTCGTGAGCGTTAAACATTTGAAATTTTAAACACTTTTAGCTGTTTTCCAACATCTCAATGACGAGTACAAGCAACCCTGTTAATTGCCAATGTGTACTCAGCAAACAAATTCAGCTACTTTTTTTTTGAATGTGGCAGTTGGCAACACTGGTGTGCAACGGCTTACTTAGTTGCCGGAAATGATTTTTGAATATATATGACGACTTGCTGAATGGTTATTAATTTTTTCGAATTGTCGTATGAAGTGTATTTTCCCTATATATCATAACATATCAAGTTAAATAGTAGATGCATTATGCATTATCTAAGTAATTCCCTCTTGTAAATTAGTAGCCAAATATTATATTATTCATGCCGTTTCTTTAGCTTTGGCTGTTTGTCAAATTAATCAGATCTAATTAACAAATTGTGTGACAAGCGCTTAATTTAATCGTTGAACTGTTTGGTTTTTGTTTTCTTTTTTCCGTTTTCTGAACTTTTCTTTCTTTAACCGAAAATCGCAAATTATTATTATTGTATATTTTTGCTAAATGTTTTCTTTTCGTTTTGTTTTTGTTTCATTTTATTTGACTACAATTTGCTTTTTAAGTATGCTGCACATTAAACGTTTATGTATACATTTATTTAATTTAGTTCTAGATAAGTAGATTGTTGTTCTTTGTTTCTTGTTGTTATCTTAATTATTTCATTTAAATTTTTATTTCTTTTTGGATTATACATTTCAATAATTTGTTTAATAACTTTCATTTAGGAACAAAAGCTTAGAGTTTGTCTAGATTGTTGTTATGTCATGTTTTTCTGCCGAAGAAACTGAGTTCAAAGAGCTGCGAATGCGAAAATTTTGGGAAGCAACCTGAACCTTGTCTAGCGCTGGCGCTCCTTGTTGCCAGCACAGAGAGGATAAGTATATTAAGTACAATATATATTTATATATATATATAGCATGGCTCTATTCGTATTATTTATACATATATATATATATATAGAGAGTTTCTTTATGCATGAAATAATGTAACCATAAACAAATTAGCAACAACTTTAAATTGCCCGGAGCGTCTTTTAGTTTTGTATTATAATTATTATTAATATTATGAGTCATAATTTACTTAAAATGTTTTGCATTCTGTCGCATCTGTCGCATCTTGCTGAATGCTGAGATATTATTTGTTTTGTTTTGCAATTCTCGAGATTTGTTCTAGTTTAACTGAGTTTTTATTTGTGTTCATTTGTGTTATTGTTGCAATCGAAAACTGTTTCAACTGTTGGCTTTACAAGTAAATGCCATCGATAATTACTTATACGCCGCCGTGTTCCGGTTTGCCGACAATCCCGGCTCCGGCTCCATCATCGACCAGCGCCGATTGTCCGCCGGTGGCTGGCTGCTGTTGTTGCGGCGGCGGTGGTGGCATATACGGCGGATATTGCGGATACTGCGGCGCAGGCTCGCCCCCAATGAGGCCTAGTTTATCTGTGGATGGCGGTTGACAGAGAGAGAGAGAGAGAGAGAGAGAGAGCATGTTAGTCATCAGCAAATTAGATAAGTTTCCATTGCGATTTGCTCAATTGAATGACAATTACATTGATACGATTACACACGAGTATTACGTATACGGCCAAATATAATACACTTCAATGGACTTCTATGGGGGGGAAGGGCAATATAAAGCTCAGTTATGGTTGTTAATTGAAAGCATATGGATTTAGCTAGTGCCACGCCCAATAAAGATAAAATTACCTTTATTGAGCGCGCCTTGGCCTCAAATATATATACAAATATTCATTGGGAACGCTAATTATAAAATTTAACTGGTTTTAAGCGTAGAAATTTCCATGTTTTCCCACCCAACTCGAGGAACTTTTTCTTTTTTTAACCAATTTTCAGTTACATTCGGTCCCCCGGTTAAACTCTTGGTGCATTAAAACTTAGGTCCATTTATGTAAAAAAAACCAAATAACCACATTTAAATATCGTTTAACCAACAACATCAATAATGATTTAATTATAAAGCAAACGCATTAATTGTAAACGAAAAGGAATTTGCGTACGATAACGGCAACTCACATACATGCAGATAAAATGATAATCGATTAATAATCGATATGTTTTTGGTATTTTTTTTTGTTGCTGTTGCTTACAGTGTTCGATAATATTGTATTTTCGAATGGTTTGAACTAAGTGTGAAATGTTTTTTTTTTGATACTGGTTCAATTGCAGTTATATTTTTTTGATGTTGTTGTTGTTGTTATTGTTGTAGTAGTTGTTGTGCTGTTGGTTTTTTTTGGATAGTTCTTGTTGTTGTTCTTATTTTGTTGTTGTTGGTTATGAGCGTTTTTATTGTGGTGTCGCGACGTCATCCGTCGGACTCGGTGGGTCATCGGTCAATTTCTCAGCCAATGGTTTCTCGAGTGTCGTTGTTGGTGGTGGTTCGGATTTGAGTGTTTGGTGTTGTTGTTGTGGTGCTGATGCAGATGCTGATGCTGGTGCTGTTACTGGTGCGGATGCGGATGCATGAACCTGCTGCTGCAAAGCAGGAGGTGGAGTAGCAGCAGCATCATCCGACATGAAAGGTTCTACGAGAAATTTGTCAATTGCATTTTCGATACAAGCCATTAAAGTGGAACCAATTTGTTTTTCATTTTCCTTACATTACCATAGTATGTGGAATGAGTGTGTGTGTGTGGGTGTGTGTGTGTGTGTGTGTGTGAGGTCGAAAAATAGTTTGTAACTATTTTGAAAAAAGAAAATAGCTTTTAAGTGATTTGTGCACCTAGCAATAATATTTGCAATAATGATTGACAAAATATTTTTTGCTTTTTTCTTTTGTTTTTACCTCAAATAATAACATTTTAAGAATTTTTGGTTTCTTTTGATAATTTCGTATTGATTAAACATAACGTAAAGCTAAAGCTTGCACAAATTGTTTTTTTTTTTTGCTTATTTTTCTTCGTCTTTCTCTGTAATTGTTGGATAAAAAAAGTTCAGTGAGTGTACAGTAAATGTGGGCGTGGGCGTGGATTTGGGCGTGGTTATAGGTGGGGTGTAAATCTTGGTGTAGAGAAAAGTATAGAGAAAATTATTAAAATCATATTTAAAAATAAATCAAAACTTATACGAAAATTGCAGTACTTTATGCATTTGCTGTTGGGCCCATACTCTATAGTTAATTGGGGGCGTGGCATTGTTGTTGTTGTTGTTTTTGCTTTCTAGTTAAACAAAATAATTAAGACAAACGTGAACAAACCACAAAGTTAACGAATCTATTCTATTTCAATTACAACGAACCAAAAGTAGTTCCTACAAATAACGGATACAAATGAATATCGTTCAACTTCGCTATGGATACTCAAAATACTCGATATATGTATAAGCGGACACGGGGACACACAAACACAATGATACGATAATTATATTTGAAAATCAAAAGGAACAAACAAATTACCGAACCTGGTGCGATATATATGTTATCGTATGGAACCAGATGATGTTGAAGTTACTTTTTTTTATATAATTATTATTATTTTTTTTTTTGCTTGCAAAGTACATTGGATGTAATTGCTCGATGGATCGTTCGATTTATATTTTTTTCGATTAACAACAATTTTTGGGTAATTTCGTAAGGCGCCAATTTCGATTTCAAATTCAATTTCAGTTTTTTGAAGCGAACGATCATCAAACGTGCTCGTAGCAGTTGTTAAATGGGATTTGAATTTCGATATAGTCGGGTTGATTTTTAGCATTGCATTGTAACTAAGTTACTAATTAGTTGTTTCTTATAGTTAGTTATAGCAATCTACATAAAGTTACCTAGAGAAAGAAAATGTGAAGGAATAAAAAAACGAAACGAAACAAATTGAATTTAGTTTTGTGTTGTTCAAAATTAAAGCGGGCTAAATAAATTATCAGAAATCAAAAGCAAAAAAACGAATTATTGTGTATTTTTTGGGGATTCATTTGGAGAGTGTGTGTGTGTGTGTGTGTGATGTGTGTGTGTGGTGTGTGTGGGGGAAATATTTGTTGGTTGTGTTGCTGTTTGGGCTGCATGTGATGAACACTTTTCAAGGAATTTCCGCACGAAGAACTTACTTGCTATGATGCCAACGATGACCAGTCCAATGACGCCCATGATGATCATCATCTGTCAATGGAATGAAACAGTATAGTTAATTGAATGCCAATGTAAAGCCAATTGGTTTTTGGACAGACCTTCAAGTTCTGCAGCCAGAACTTTCGTTTTAGCTTGCCCGCCTGCTGCTCGAACTGCGAGGCGCCCTGCTGCAAGGCATCGGCACGATCGTCCAGCTCCGAGAGCTTGGCATCACGCTCCAGCACCTTCTCGACATTCGTGCGCATAATGTCCACGACCTGCAGATGGAAGGAGGAGTATTGTATTAACCAGTTTTAGCTTTTACTTGTATTCGTTCTGCTTACCTCATCGACTTGGGCCTGCGTTTGCTGCAGGCGCTTTTGTGCCGCAATTTGCTGCGGATTGCGTGGTCCGCCAACGATTTCACCGTCGGCGCCCTCGCCCGCCGGCGGGCCATCGGTTGGTGGTGCATCGACAGCTGCTGCAGCGTCCGCCCTGCCGACAGAGAGAGAGAGAGAGAGCAAACATTAGTCATCCAAACGGAGACAAGTCTAATCAACTCCCCATGGAGCAATCAAATAAGTACGGGCTAGCTAGGGTTATTTAGTTACACATGATGTGCTAGCCACATTTACGAGATATGTATATAATTATATATATTTTAACGTGTGAGTTTTCGGGCAAAGTGCGCAAGTTCTAGCCGGACTACTGCATAGAGCTGAGCACTTACGGTTCCTTATTTTTGTCTTTCTTGCCCATGTTTGGACTGTAAACAGAAAATCAAAATCAAAATCGAAATTAAATACAAATTCTTTCAAATCAAGCTTACACATTACACATTTCATTTTCATATGCATCCCAATTGGAATGCTTTTTATTTTTGCATGACTAACCCATGAGGCACGACAACTTGTGTTTAAGTTTATCGATTTTGGGGGAAAACCGACATGTGATGCGTGGGAAATGAAGGAAATGGACTCGGACACGGCCGAGGTAAATGTAAGATCAACAAAAGAGATTCACGCTGAATAAATCGTTAATTTGGGCAACTATTTTTTATCGTTCTTTCCATGCGAGCCCATGCGGCGTATACGTTATTGTCTGTGTGTGTGTGTGAGTGTATGTGTGTGTGAGTGTTTGTGTGTATGTGCGTATACAGTGAGAGCTCTTTGGAGCGAACACGTACGTTTCAGAAAAACATATATATCATATTTTTGCACACATTTTATGCAAATTTTTCGAATAAGTTTTGAAAATATTGCAATCTTTTTTAAAACAAACTTTGCCAATTTCCATATAATTTTTGACTAGAAGAGTTTGTTCGTTTGAGAAATATTTGTTGTACAAATAATTGATTGGTATTTAATGAATTGGCCGGCTAAAGGAGACCTAAGGCCAGCCAAAGTTGTTGTTCGTTAATGCAGCTTTCCACTGTAATTGCTTTTGTTTGCGCGTAACGTTCAAAGAGAAAGAGAAATCAATAATTTCCATTTACTTACATTGCTTTCTGTTTTGTTCTTCTTCTGCTGTTCTTGTTGTTGTTGTTGTTGTTGTAACAGCCGCTGCTGCTATTGTTGTTGTATTAATAAATTTGAACGTCGCCTAACGTCTCGGAGTGAAATTGCGATGACGGCTGAATGTGTCCGTGTCCGTGTCGTCCCGTGGACTTTTATGCACTTGCCCAAACGTCTTTCGGTTGAGAGCGCGTTTATCGCCTCGTTGGGGGTTGTTGCCGGATGCCGGACGGGGGCGGGGGGCGCGGTGGCTGGCTGGGCTGCAGGCGCAACTTTTGGCTATTCGTTGTTTTTGTTATCGCGCGCTCCCTCTCTCTCACTCTCTCTCGCTCTTTCGCTGACCGTTACACTCGGGGACTCGCTCTCAGTGAGCTTTTCTTCAATGAATTTGCGCTCAACTCTCGGCCTCAACGCACACTCGCGCGCGCACACAGACACTAACGGGGAATAACTGGCAGGCAGAGATGTGTGTGTGCGTGACTGTGTGTGTGTGTGTATGTGCGGGTACCACTTGCCACGACAACCTTTTGCAGCAGCGCTGTGTGAAGGAATCCTCTGGCCCTTTTGTTCAAACTGTTGGTGGATAGAGTATAAAAATAGTTGCAACTATTTTTAGTATGCTTATTCGTTATGTTTATTCTATTGAATGTCGGCTTCAAATGTCTTAGCTTTAGTTACGCCCACAAAACACAGACACACACACACGCACACGCACACAACTTGGCTGTATTCTCTAGAGTTTCTCATTTGCACATACATATATATTTTGCAACAATTTTTACTGCATATTTTGAGGCGCAACTGAAGCCACTTTTTAGTTCTCTTCAAATATAGTTTTGTATTTGAAAAATTTCATTTGCAAATTTTGCAAACAATTTGCACTTGCATGAAAAAAATCAATGAAATTTTTACACAACACAATTTTTGGTTCAAGTCAATTTAAGAGCTTTAATTGAACTATTTCGCAACTTTCTTTGCAAGCCAATGTCTTTGCATTTGGACTGTGTCAACACATAGTTCTGGAGTTAAAATATAACTAAATAATAAATTATATACATTTGCGCAGCACAAAGAAAATTTTCACTTACGACGTTTTTTAGCCAACTGCGAAAACTTGCAGCTTTTCTAACTGTTATGTGTATTTGGGGAAAAAGCTCGCTCAATAAGGACGAGTTGCAAAAGCTTCGTGCTATAAAAACTAACGAGTAGCTTTCGTCTTCTTGTCCTAACGAGTTCAAATGCGATAGTTTGATATCTGGTTTAGAATTCGATTTTACAGCGGCTTGCGAAACTTTGTCTGTATCCATACTCTGTACATTTTGAGACAACGTCCACGATTAACCTGCAACCGCCTGTCCACTAAAAGCTGCTCCTCCACCAGCCCTGTTTGGGTCAGCATGCTGCGCAGCTCTTGTTCCGTAAAGAAATATACCATAGTGCCATCGCCTCGCACATAGAAATTATCCTCCAGGCATTTGCCGCTCTTGAAGCGCAACTGCGCAAGATCGTAGCGTCCGTAATCCCGAAAGACCAGCAGACCTCCTGGCTTGAGATAGCGATAGCAGTTCTCCAGCACACGCTGCATTTTAGACGGCTCAATGGCCGACAGCACAAAGATCATGACGATAATGTCCTGGGAGTTCTCCGCGAACGGCACCTGCCACTGCTCCTGCGTGGCATCCATAACAAAGACCTCGCAGCGTTTGTCATCATACTGCGGCTGACTACGTAGGATTTCTATGGCACGTTCCGAGAAGTCACAGCCATATACACGCAGTTGGGATTCCGTGCTGTATTGGAGTATGGGCAAAATGGTATTCCCGACGCCGCAGCCCAGCTCGAATATGCTGCGCGGCTGTGAATGCTCGTTGTTCGCCATGGGCGCCAGTTCGGGAAATTCCGTGAACAGCCAGTGACGGTCTTTAAAGAAACGATTGTCGTGTATGCCATAGAACGAGTCCCAGAACTTGGGTGCATCCGATTGAAAGCGTTCCCGCTGATCATCGCTCATCTTAACAGTTGAATTCTTCTCGACTGCCGCCTGGGCGGCTAGCTCCTGCTCTGCATCCCATTCCACGTGGTCCCTGTTGAGCAAATTTTAGAACGTGTTTTTTTGAGTTATCTTATTTGGTTTTATACCACGCATTAAACTCGAACACCTCACGCGCATCGGTGAGAATACGCTCACCCGCACCACTCGGCTTCTTGCGCTGGCGAGTGTGTTCCCAAGTTTTGCTGGCAAAGCATCGTGGCAGATATTTACCAGGCGTTGTGCTTAAAAACGTCGGCGTTATCCTTGAGCAGACGTGTGCCAAACTGTGGACGCTTCTCATTTTCATTCGAATCATCTAAAGGTGGACTTGTATCGCTCATGTTACGTTTTCAATTGGGATAATTCAGAAATCCACTTTGTCAACAAATGACCGCGTTGCGTCTAAGAACATATGGCGCGAAAAGTGGCCAGACTGTTGCAAGTTGCTGGCATATGGCAACGCCAGCTTGTGTATATCTGCTATCGGCTGACCACCACTTGCTATCGGTTAGTATAACAAAACCGCAAAATAATTTTTTGTTGTATGCGTTGTAGTTTACTGCAGCAAACTGAAATATATAAATAATCAAGGCATAAAAAGCGCCAAAAAGATTAATTAAAGAAAAATACTTAACAGCAAAAGTTGATTGTGTTGTGCGTTGTGCAAAAGAAAACGTTTCAAAATGATGAACGAGGCTGCTGCACTGGCCAACATGATACCCTACGACACAATTGGACTCTACGAGCAGCCCAAGCCCCGATTCATCTTCAAGATGCCGCGGGTGGTGCCCGATCAGAAGTCCAAGTTCGAAAGTGACGAGCTCTTTCGACGACTGAGCCGCGAAAGCGAAATCCGCTACACGGGCTACCGGGAGCGCAGCATTGAGGAGCGTCAGGTGCGCTTCATGAACGGCTGCCGCGAGGGGCACACCGAGACGAGTTTCGTGGCATCGGGTACGAATCTGCAGCTGGTCTTCAATGCCAATCAGAATCCCTACCTGCACGACAAGGAGTGCGACTTCGACAAGGAGCACGGCAAGGTGCACATTAAATCGTATTTTATTATGAACGGTGTTTGTGTACGCTTCCGCGGCTGGCTGGATCTGGAGCGCCTGGATGGCGTCGGCTGTCTGGAGTACGATGAGCGCAGAGCCATGCACGAGGATGCGATATTGCGCGACCAGATCGATCGCTATAATCAACGCCTGCGCGAATTCGAGGACACCAAGCGAGCCTATCGCGACAATCGCCAGGACGAGATGGAGGCAGTGCGCCGTGGCGTCGCCTCCGGCGGCATTGGCGTGGGCGCCAGCATGTGGCGTCGTTAGTTGGACTTTTGGACGGCAACGACGCCGTCACAGCAGCACCAGCAGCAGCAGAATGAGACTCAATTCGCAAATACTCAATACTTTATGGAAAACTGAACAAATGCTCCCAAACCCAAACTTGCCACCAAATGCGGATACGGATACGGTTACGGCTACGGATTACGTTTAGATTCGCTCGAATAATGCTCCTCTAGACTTAGTTTTAGCACTTAGTAAATTACTTAACGTATTCTTCTATGGTATTAAACATAACATTTTAATGTGAAATTATATAGTACATAGTTAAATACTTACATTTACATATAAACATATAAATATATATATGTATACTTGTATTAATATATATTATATCTATATATAATACACAATAAACTTACGCATAACAATTCCGGTATTTCAATGCTGACGCAGAATGACGACGATTATTAATTTACATATTTATTAGAAATAAGTCAAGCCAAGCAAAGTGAATGCAAATTGAGAGAGTATTACGATTTTATGCCCGTTTATGGAAACCGATAAAAAAGGTATTAGACTTATTGGAATTAAAGATTTCTGTTTTCTTATAGTATATAGTATACTAAAAGTTAGCCTTGGCCTGGTTGAGCTTGGCACAGATTTTCATCTGTTAACCGAAAGCTACAAAAAATTGTCTTCAACTTGGGGAAATCCCATTTTCCATTCAGGAATTAGTCGAATATGAAAGACGTCTTCAATGATCTGATTTAAAGCTATTATTTGTTTAATTTGTAATAAATAAAACTGCAATATTTTAGGATCAAACGGATAAGCACTTGGATGGGTATTCAAAAAATCGAAAAGTAATCAACTAAACATTTCAATTGACGCATTTTGTGTGTATTGCATATATATATAATATTATTAATGGATACTTTATAAACATGATTAACGCTAGAAGTGCAATTGCAGTTGCATGGAAACCCAAAGAATTTGACGGGTGTTTCTGTGTGCCTCCATATTCCGTTTAACGGATATGCAATGTGGAAATGCGCAGACCGATGCAATCCTTGCCAATTTGGCTAAGCTCGCAGACGGCGCAGAGATTGCCCTTGTATTGGGTATCGTAGGCGCTGGCGCAGAAGGGGCAGGTCACCTCCGGTTTGCCGCGATAGAGCGGCTTCCAGCTGATGGCGCAGATATTGAACGGATTGAACTCCTCGTACTCCAGCTGATGCTCATCGATGGGATTCACCTCGCATGCTTGCAATATTTTTCGCACCTGCTGCGCCACCTCCGGCCGCGGCGCCAGCTCCAGCAGACGGCGTGCAAATGACGCCGCCGTCTTGTAGTTCTTCAGCTTGAAGAACATGTTGAGCGCGGTGCGCAGCGTCAGTATCTGATGGACAGGCTGCAGCTTGCAGTGCGTAAAATAGGCGGCCATTTCACACAGACGCTTCTGCTCCTCCAGCGTGGACTTGGGCATGCCCTTGCGCACGGTCTCCATTTTCAGGCCCACAATATACTCGGCACAGATTTTGAGCAATTGTTGCGCCTCGGCGGTGTCCAGCTTGGTCTCCACCACCAGCAGCGGAATACTGATCAATATGGAGTGGAACTTCTCGATGGCCTCGCCGAATTTGCCGGATGTGGTCAGCTGGTAGCCCGCCTGGAGACGCGACACCAGCTCGTTTAGCTTAATGCCCAGCGCGGGACGCTGCAGCTTCGGATTGGTTTCGGCGAAATTGCGCAGCGGATAACCGCTGAGCGACTGCAGATTGGGATTGGCCGTGTAGCTGGTGCGGGAGCAGGCATAGTTTTGCAGGAATAGCGTTTTGAAGGGCTTGAAATTGACCACGCCCAGCTGATCGTTGAGCAAACGGAAGGCGCTGTTAAAGGCGCCCGCCTTGACATGATCCAGCACCAGCTGCGAATTGTTGGCCCAATGCTGGGCCGGCGATTGACCCTTGTTCGGCGCCGCATAGTAGTTGCTGTCCAGCGCCGAGGCTTTGATCTTGGAGGCCAGCTCAATGGGCACGACCAGATCATCGTCGCCTACGTCCCAGCCACCGCCGCCGCCGCCGGCACCATCCTCGTGGCCCTCGTCATTGCTCAGAGCATCGTGCATCTCGTCATCGCCGTCATCATCCTCGCCCAGGCCCAGATCTGCATCGGCTCCCCAGCCATCGCCGCCGCCATTGTGCTCGTCCAGCAACGCAGCATCCGCATTGATGTTGAGCGCTTGGCGTGCGGTAATGCTGCCGCTGGCCCGTGTCACCATGGCGCCCTCAAAGAAGCCCTTCGACACGGACAGCAGCGGCCAGTTGGTCTCCAGCTGCTGTATAGGCACAGGCGGCTGCAATAGCTGCGCATTCGGGTTGACCTCCGGCAATGTGCTGCCCTCGGCGCTAATGGTGGCGCCCAGCGTCTCGGTCAGTTCGTCCAGGCCATGGGTGGCCGCTGTGAGATATGCCAGCGACAGCTGTCCACAATTCTTGAGAATGCTGACGCGTTCCTTGACATCGCCCAGGAGCAGGGCGCCCTGGTACTGTGCGGAGACATCCTTGCGTATTTCGGCAATTTTATTCATGCGCTTCAGCTTGTCCAGATTGCCAGTGATCAGATAGAGGAAGCTCAGCTTGTCGAAGTTCTTGGTGCGCTGATAGCACATCTCGACCACCTGATGATTGCCCTGCAGCAGGGCAGCCTGGCCCAGCCGATCCCAGCAGTCCTTGTCGTCCAAAGCCTTGGCCGCCTGCAAGGCAATCTCAATGTTGCCGCACTCCAGGGCCAAGCCGAAGCGCGTCTTCTCGTCCTTGACAAAGTGCAGCGCTACCTCCGGATAGCCCTTCTGCTGCAGATACGCAATGATGCTCTGGCCCACGAGCCGGGCATTGCGCACCATGTGCAGGACTTCGTCGTATTTGCGCTGGATCAGCGCCAGCTTGAACTTGTATTCCGTGGGATCGATGTGCAGGACACGGGTGCGACACTCGCGATCCAAACAGAACACCTGATTGCCCTTGACGCGCGTCAAATAGATGGGCAAGTCCAGAGTGCGTATGATGCCATGATCGCCATTGGTGATGGCATACTTGATGTGATTGCTTGTCGTATAGATGAACACGCCCGACTCGTCCCAGGCGCCCGATTTGACGCGACAATTCTCCTGCACGGTGCACAAATACTGCAGCCGGCGATCGCAGATGGTAACCGAATGCTTGCAGAGCAATGCCACCAGCGACATGTCCGGCGACCAGACCACATAGCGGCACTTGGCCAGCTTGATGCTGCCGACGGAGACTAGGCGCTGCACCTCGTACAGCGTCACATATTCCGGATCGCGTATGAGCAGCATGCCGGTGCCGGCATAGAAGATCTCCTCACAGAATGTGGGTATCTTTTTGGTCACCTCGTTCTTGAAGTTCTTCACCACCAGCTGCTGATTGCGATCGAGCACGGCGAAACGATTGCGTGCCACCCAAATGGCCGTTATGCCCGAGCTGCGCTTGCTGTCGGATTCATTTTGTCTGTCGCTTTCGCTGTCCTTCGGTATCTGGCACAGATCATAGGTGCTATTCTCCAAATTGTTGGTGCGCGTGCAGATGAGCACCGCGTTCAGTGCGGGATTGTAGGACATGCTGTAGACGGGCGACTTGCCGGGACGCAGCTGCATCACCACCGTGTCCTTGGTGGTGGTAAAATCCAGTTTGCGCAAGAAGCGATCCTTCACATAGTACAACATGTTGCCATGCACCGCATAGGCGGGACGCTCGCGCTCCAGCTTAAAGACCACCATGCCTGCATTAAATCAAGTGCATCAAATTAAGAGTCGAGCTGCAAACGGAATCGAGCTGCTACTCACCCGCATCGTGGCCGGCAGCAAACAGATTGAGTGTGGGATGAGCTGCCATAATCCAGAAGCGCTCGTTGTCACGTCGGAACGTGAACAGGCACTGGCGCTTGGTCATGTCCCAGACGCGTATGCTGCGATCCTCGCCGTTCGAGATGATCAGATCCTGGCGTGGATGGAATAGCACGCAGGACACATTGTTATAATGGCCACGGCACGTGTCCACCTCCCAGGCCTTGTACTCGTTCATGCGCCACAGCTTGACCAGGCGATCATCGGCGCCGGACACAATCAGCGGCAGCGTTGGATGGAAACTGGCCCAGTTGACGCCGCGATCGTGACCCTCTAGTACATGCTTGACCACCGCATCGGCCTGGCCGAACAGATCTGTGGCGCCCGGATGGCCCTTGAGGTGCTCATCTAGACCACCGGGACCGGGTGCCACATTCTTTTTACGCAGTCCGGATATGTCCCAAACACGCACCGTCTGATCCAGCGAGGCGGACACAATTTGATCCTCTGTCGGATGGAATTGGGCGCACATCACATAGTGATTGTGGCCAGTCAGAACACAGATGCAGTTGCGCGACTGCCAGTTCCAGATGCGTATGGTCTGATCATCGGAGGCGCTCAAGATCCACGGATACTCGTGATGAAAAGCGACTGTGCGTACATAATCTAAATGCGCCAGCAGCGTGAAAATGCAGCGACGCTGCTTATAATTCCACACCTTGATCTTGTAGTCATCTCCGCCGGACACAAACAGCGGCATCTGTTGATGAAAGGCCACACTACGCACGGGTCCGTCGTGCTCATCGAACTTCTCCAGCAAAGTGTGCATGCGGTAGTCCCACAGCTGGATGACACCGCTGTGCAGACTGGTCAAGATCCAGGGGCGTTTCGGGTGAAACGAGAGACCCTTGACGCGAGCCGATTTTGACTCGAAATTGGTCAGCATGTTGGCAAATTCTTTTGTTTTTCCTGCTGCCGTGGCGATGTCTCAGTTGTAGTCGGCTTTTCCTTAACGTACACTTAAACAGCCTGTGCCACGTACTTTTCTGTGTAAAGTTATACAAAAACACTCGTTAGTATTTACAGCACGATATTAATTAACAAATAAACATATACAAGCAATTTATTTAAGTATTTTACGCAAAAACACACACCAATTATACAAAATTTTCAAGTGACACGTCAATTTTCTTCTTCGCACTGCCAGGGCTGCCAACTCACAAGCAAAACAGCTGCGACTATCGATAACCGCTATATCGATAGGACGTGAATGCATTTAACAAATATCGTTACGATATTCGCTTAATTTTGTTTACAACTAACTTTGGTGTTTGTAAAATGTAAAATAAATTTAAAGCAAAATGACGCTGGCACATCGCGCGCTCTTTACATGGTTTATAGTCTTGGTGTTCTTAATACTGCTCTGCTTGCGGCTAGATCCTCGCACCACCTGGAACTGGTTTGTCACCTTCACGCCGCTCTGGTTCTTCGACTGGATTTTAATTATTTACGTGCTGATCAAGTTTATACGCAAATGGCGCAACTTGAACCGCCTGACTGATCTGCTGTCCCTCTACAAATGGAACATTGCCGGCGTGCTGCTAACAATAACATCCCAGGTGATGATATGCATGACCCTCGAGTATCCACAGCAGATACCCATCTACGTGACCATGGCGCCGCTCATCCTGCTCCTCTCCACGGCCATTGTCTATGTGGGTGGAAAGCTGAGGCGGCGCGAAGGCTGGCTACATTGAAATGAACACAGCGACATTCTACAACTATCTGTATATATATTTATGTCTTAAGTCTAATTGTAATTCACATTAAAAATGTAAAAAAAATGCCAGCGATTGCCTAGAATCCGTATTTGCTTTGTGTGGCGCGACGGGTTTGCCTATTGGCCGACCACATGGCCTGCAGCTCGGCCTCGTTGGCCTTGGCCTTGTGGGCCAAGTAGGTGATTTGATGCTTGCGCCTTGTGCCCGCCACGGGCTCCTCGTCCGTCAGCACGCCCGTTGGCTGAAATGTGGTGGCCGATGCCAATGCCGTGCGCATCCATTCCTCACGATCGGGCAGCACCTGAGAGCCAACAATATCGATCACCTGCATTTCCTTGGCCTCCTTGCGCCGCCGTTTGGCATTTTTGCCCACCAGCGCATCCATGGCCTCGGTGTTCAATTGCTGCTCCTGGTAACGTTTCTGTGCCTGCCGCAGCTCCTCCGCCTGCAAGTGTGCCTCCTCCGCCTCCTCGTCGGCAGCCTCACGCTGTGTCCGTTCCGACAAATACTTGTGGCTAGCCTCAGCCATTTTGGCCGCTCGCTTGGCCACCAGGGCACTGATCTCGTTGCTGCTCACCTCCGGCAGCTGCTGCTTGCTGTTCAGCGAAAAGAAGTCACCAGCATTATCCACATCCTCGTCGTCTTCGCTGTCGCTGACACTGACCAGCGGCGCAGTCGGCTTGGAGCTGGGACGGCTCTTTGAATGCTTAACGGGCGGCGCTTTAAGGCCATCAACTGTTTCGGTATTGTGTGCGGCGCGTCGTTGCTTAACCGTATCCGGCACGAAAGCTGGCGCAGCATTGGCCTTCGGAGCTGGCGTCGGGCCATTGGGCTCCGGTTTGGCAGCCACGGGCTCAGATTTCCTGGCAAAATCCCGCTCAGACTTAGCCTGCGGCAAAATGCTCAGCAAACCGCAACCCTTTGTGGACTTGACCTGCGTTTGCCTGCCATTTAGTTTCTCCGCCTGCTCTTTGTCCACGTCGGCGAACTCCCTCAGCGAAGGTATGCTGATCTTAACGCGTCCCCTGACAGCAGCTGCAGGCGGTGCTTCGCTACCTGCAGGCGGCACTGCCTTTTTGTGCAAGAACTCATCGTCCAATTCTTCGATGATAGCTGCTGTTTTCGCTGCATGCCTCGGCATGGGCAGCTTGGCAAATGCCTGGGTCACATGCTCATCCGCCTGCTGCCCGCCATCCTCCGCGTCTGGCGTTGGCCCAGCGGCTACTTTGGGCTTGGGTAGGCTTAGCGCTAGCCGACCAATATGGGCCGGCCTTAACTCCTGCAAGGACACCTCCTGAGGTATAAAGTCGTCATCGTCATCGCTAATATGTCCATTGCTTGCATTTGCTTTCCGTTCGTTTGCCCCGTTTTGGATGGCTGTGGGTGGCTTCAGTAATTGCACTTTTATGCCCGAAGAGTCTTCCTCATTATCCGATTCCTCATCGCTACTCGCAGCGTATGCAACCAGCGACATAGTTAAATTATAATTCTTTAAATGCTCAGTGAAATTCACAAATTTTGATACGCGTTGCAAATGTGTCTTGATATAAAATGACAGCTGTTCGTTGAAATGGAGCACCCTGTGACAAGTGTTGCCACAGTTTGGTCGATGTTGCTGACAGGGTAATAAAACAGTATGGCAATGCCAGGCCAATGGTCTGTTAAAATCTAAAAATTTCGTCAAACCTTTTAAACTATTTGTAGAAGCATAAATACCTGGCAACAGGTAGTGCGGAGTATTTAATTATGACAGTAGCTGCAGCTGTTTAAGCTGATCATAAAACTATAAAATGTAGGTAGATATCTCTCATCTTGCCCATATAAATAACATACTAGCTTTGACCGAGCATCAGTATGAATTTGCGCATCGAGCTGTTAAGAGATCCGAAAATGCATCATCATCAGAATCATGGAGATGCGGCTGCCTTGACGGGCATCATGCCGCCGTATGAGACAATGGCCCTCTACGAGCAGCCGAAGCCGCGTTTCATATTCAAAATGCCGCGCGTGGTGCCGAATCAGAAATCCAAATACGAGTCGGACGAGCTGTTCCGACGACTCAGCCGGGAGAGCGAGGTGCGCTACACCGGCTACCGGGGACGGGCCATTGACGAGCGTCGCATGCGTTTTGTCACCGACTGCCGCAAGGGTTATGCCGAGCTCTCATTCGTACCCACGGGCACCAATCTGCAGCTGTATTTCAATGCCAATCATAATCCGTATGCCCAGGAGCAGGAGTGCGATTTCGACAAGGAGCGCGGCAAGGTGCACTTGCGCTCCAATTTCATAATGAATGGCGTTTGTGTGCGTTTCCGTGGCTGGCTGGATTTGGAACGTTTAGATGGCGTCGCCTGTCTCGATTTTGATGAAGCACGCGCCCAGCAAGAGGATGCACAGCTGAGCGAGCAAATCGAGAGCTATAATCAACGCATGGCCGACTCGAAACGCATTTATACGCCGCATACGCCGCCACAGGATGCTATACGGCGTGGCCCACCGGGTCCGGGACCAGTTACTGGACCACCAATGGGCTGGTAAAACTAGCCTGATGGATTGAAGCTTCAATAAATGTGTGAGATTTAGTCTTAGTTTCATTTTTTCTATAACCTAAATAAAATACATAATCGGTGTAGAATTTTATATCCTAAATTTAATTTCCTTCATGAATTAACTTGAATAACGAAACACCTGCCCAGCAATGAAAGTATATCTAAGTGTATGAAGGGAAAGTATTAAAGAGAGCTTATAGAAGCATGACAATTGTTATGTAGGTTGAATTTGGCGCCATTTCAGTGCAGCTTGCATTTTTAACATTTTTTGATCCGGCAACGCCGAATAATGTAATCTAGCTATCGATATAAAACAATAGCTCATATCGCTTCTAGTGTCATTGCAACTCTGGGCTTCATTTCTCGGAAGCTTACAATTTGTACATTTGTGAATTCCCCTGAGTCACGTTAATAGCGATACGTCGGAAAGTCAAGTATTAAATATGTCTTTAGAGGACTACGGAAGTTACACAAACTCGTATTGCAGCCAAATTTGTTACACATGGTCACTCAAAGTGGATCGAATAAGTGACCTAAGGTCTAAACGTGTTTCACAGCGCTTTCCAGATCATAGAGAAAATATTACCCAGTTTTATTTAGAAGCATTTTCCGATAAAAACTACGATTGTGAAAGATTGTTGATATCCCTAAAATATGGTGGCAAGACTGACTGTACAAACAAAAGCAAATACGTCAGCATTTCTATAGCAAATCGTGAGAAAAGAAAGTCCCAGCTTCTTAATTTATCTGACGAATGGGCAGTTAATATGGATTTTTTAAATGAAACTGCTCCGAATGTCTTTTTTGCTAATGGCACACTTACAATACACTGTGAGATCCTTTTGACGAGCCCCGTAGACATGGTTATGTCAATCGAAGTTCCCAAATGCAAATTACTTAAAGATTTGGCTGCGTTATTCGATACAAAGGAAAACTCAGATGTAACAATTGTGACTAAGGATCACCATGAGATACCAGCCCACAAGGCCATCCTAACAGGTAAAGATAACAGGTATATCGAAATGAAATCTGTTGCCAAACAATTCAATGTTCGCAGCACGCAGCGAAGTCTTTGCGGCCATGTTTAAGCATCCAATGGAGGAGAGTTTCGGGAATTGTGTTACGATTAGCGACTTCGACCAGGATGTTCTCATTGAATTGCTGCGCTTTATATACACGGGCGAAGCACCTAACTTGGCAGACTTGGCTGAGGGCCTGCTGGCAGCTGCTGAGAAGTACGGTCTGGACAGTCTAAAAGCAATGTGCATGAAATACTTAAGCGACAATCTTTCCATTGAAACTGCTGCCATCACGTTAAAGTTAGCCGATCTTTATAATGTGGAAGATCTTCAATTCAATTCAGTTCAGTTTATTAAAAAACATGCTGAAAGTGTAGCTAACACGGCCAACTGGCAGAAATTGATTACAACAGATAAATATTTGATATTAAATGCATTTTGTGAGCCAAAAATTTTGTTGAAATTAAATGACGAAAACCAAAATGAGACTTAAATGTAATAACAATAATATTAACTTACAAACCAAAACATTTAATCTCAACACAACATTATTCGCATACATACATATATTATCATACAAATGGTCTTGTGCCTTAAAAAAATATAATCAATTTTGAATATCATTTATTTTGATTTTGTTTAACCTTGAAATGTTTATTATATTGGAATAAAAAAAATAAATAAAAATAAAATGTTTTAGAATGAGTCTTGTATTCAAACATTTCTGGCTTCAGTTCCTTCATTTTAAGAAATCTTGAACTTAACTGCACTTTTGACAGTCTTCACTTTATTTAAGTTCAAAACTTATGTGAATGTCGAAGGTGTTTTTGCAGCCCTGTTGTCATTGCTCCATAAGGGTTGATGCTCGGGGTCTTTGGCCTTAATTACACCAACTTCAAATGGCCGCCACCCCAAAACTCAACCCAGCTGTCACCTCTCTCTCTCACTCTTTCTGTTCGTCTCAGAGGTTTTGGTCTGAGGGCGCTTTTTTTGCAGAGTGCCCAACATAACAACCTATTTTCCGCTCTCTCTCTCTCTCTCTATCTCTCTCTCTCCCTCTCACCTGATCTCGGCAGCATTTACGAGAGCGCCTATTGATTTTCTGGCACTCGGATGCTGCTGAAAGAAACTTTGCAACTGCGTCGACGGTTCGTTTTGTTTTTCAGCCACAGTCAGAGTCTCAGTCTCATTTCGAACGCGTCTGTGCGGGCATATATAGAAGCGAAAAACGGGCAGACCGACCGGGAAGGCAACAGAAATTTTCATAAAATTATACATACCACAAAGTGTTTTAGCACAAACATTCAAAATTTTGTATAATTTTTGTTTTGTTCGTTGTTTTTCGTACTTTTGCGTTCACGAACAAAAACAAAAAAAAAAAACAAAAAGCTGCGACGTGCGCTAAAATTAGCGACCGGTGTATTATAGGGTGATGTATGCTTTGTGAGTCCCAGTCCCAACTGGCTACGCCCCCCCTCCCAGCCGCCTGGGTCCCCCTCGCTCTGAGCAGAGAAGCGCGCCCCAAATTGCTGCCATTTGTGAATTATACATATTTCAAATAGTATTTGTACAAATTATGTGCTCAAGATTGCCAGCAATCGAATAAACAAAACAAACAAATTATAATAAATATTTGGAATAGCAGCTCAAAAACGTAAAGTGGAAAATCAATCGATTCGCCCTTGGAGACCAGGTGGAAAACAAGGACTATTGACACAAAATGCCAGCCTCAAATACGATTGTGCTGAGGAGTCTATCCATATTGTTGGGCCTGTTCTTCATATTTGTGGGCACGCTCAAGCTGACGCCGCACATCAGCAAGGATCTGTACAAGGATCTGGTGAGTGAAAAATCGATACACTTAGTTTGTTTACAGCACCGCCTATCGATGGCAAGCTGTTAAGCATTGTTGGATAACTAAGAAAAGAGTGTTAGACAATTATTGAAGGTCTTAGAGTTAGTCTTTAGCAGAGAGGCGAATAAGGAGAGAATAAAGAAATATATAACGGCTTGCGTCGGCATTTCGGGAGCGGCATCGCTCTCATCGATTTTTCGCCGCGAGAGCAAAAACAAAAAAAAACAACCACCATTCCAAAAGAAAATACAATTTCACATTGTTATCCTGCCAGTTGGCGCTCTTATATAAGTGGGTCATCGGTTTTTCTTTTAGTAATTATTTAGAGTGCTGAACTATATTTTATACTAATAATATTCAGTTCGAATGCCCGGCTCGTGTGGGGATATATAATATCAATATTATTCTTTAAGCTTCGAACTATATTGAAAACGGAACATAAACTTAAAACTATTTTCGCAAATCACATGTACGGAAATTCTTATAAATATGACTAATATACATATACAATTAGTTGCACCATTGAACTCGACCTCGTCAATGCCAGGCATTGGCCTTCACAAATACTTTTGAGCACGCAATGATCTTCAGGAATATACACACATACATACACACATACATATAAATATGTATATACATATATACATACATATGAGCACGCAAATAAGTTTTTTTTATCCAAACACTTTGCATGAGTATTTCTTTTTTTTTTTTAATGACGGAAACTATGCAGAGCGCACTCTGGACTACAGATTGTTTATATATAATATATGTACATATATTCTATGATAAAGAAAAAGTGTAATTGTTGGAAATGGCAAATCTGAAATTGCGTAGGCGAACATTTTGTTTTGTAATTTATGTTTGTTTTCACATGAAATTATCCGGCGTCGCGTCGCTCAAATAAACATTGTTGGTGCGCGATTTCTAACATTGGAGCTCAAGCAACTGAGCCAAGCTCATAAAGAAATTATATATAGATATATATTTATAAGCAATTAACAGTTCTGTATACAATTATTTTGGCTATAAACAATGCCCCGTTATTTTTGCTATATAAAGCAATATAATTAAATGAATTTGTCTATTGGTGTTTTCTTGGCTTTTTGGTAAGGTATTTGATCTGAAAATAAATATGTACAATGTATATAGCCGAGCGCTGTTGCAATGCCGAAACATTTTTATAATTACAGCATCGCGCATTAAAGGCACTTGGCAAATGGCAAACAAAATGTGAGTGTGTATGACAAACACGTTTGGTTCTCTTTTTTATATTTATTTATAAATAAACATATTGCCCTGCCTATCACAGGGCGCGTCTCAATGGAATATACTTGGCTCGGTGAATAAGTTAGCAGACAATTATCAAGCTGAACTGAATCCTAGTTTTGTGTACTATTTAGCCAATTGTCGAAATATTTTAATTAATTAATTAAAATTGAATTTTGGTTGACTTTTCCATTGCAGCGCACAGAGTATGTGAAATATGCCAAGGTATTTCCGTTGACGGCGCTGTTCGGCGTAAAAATACCCTCGAAATGGTATAGACGAACCGTTGGCATATTGGAAATCGTATGCGGGCTGGCCATGGCCCTAATACCCTATCGTAAGTACAAAAATCGAATTGAGATGATTATTTAGATAATCCAAAGATCTTTCACAATTGCAGACAAAATCAAGAATGTGGCGAATGTGCTGCTGCTGCTGCTCATGCTGTTGGGCATCTATCAGCATTGGATGGTCAGCGATCCGTTCGAGCGCTCCGGACCCGCGCTGGTGTTCACGTTCATGCTGGGCGGCCGACTGGTTGTCTGGTATCAGACCAGCCGCAAGGAGGCAGCCGAACTGGCGGCGGTCAATCCACCGCAGGCGAATGGCCTCAAACAGGAATAGATGCTGCCGGAGAGAGTACGAGATCATTTATCGGTCATATTTAGTCGAATCATAAATTCAGCTCATAGTCGCACCTGTAAACAGCTTTGTTTTAGCACAATTAGTTGAATATCGCGAGCTCAATTGGCGCCCCTAAATACAATATATATATATATATATAAATACATAACGAAATAACACTCATTTCTAGTTATAAATTAAATGAAATTTTTATAGAGTAAACGAAATTAAAATTGGAGTGTTTTGTTTTTTCACTTTGGTGCCAAAATATGAGAATACATACTCGTACAATATATTTATAAATTAAATACACATAAATTAATTGCGAAAAGTGTTCAAGTTATAAATTAATAAACGAGTTGATAGTATATAGCAATAAAGACAAAGACCAGAATAATTCAAAAACATACATAAATCCCTTAAAATACACGGCACTCATGTTGTAGTTGTCGCAGCCATCAATGCCTATGACATTTTAGCAACAATTTTAATAAATTTTTGAATAACTCATATTCATACATAATGTTTCAACAATTATTCAACATCAGTCGTTGGTTTGTGTTGTTTAATAAGCAGCTTGCGTTTGCAAAATTGCCAGCAAATAGTCGAGATTATTAAATATGCGCGTGCTCTAAGCCTTAACTGTGTTCAACTGTGTGTGGTTCGTGTCTTATTTGCGTATTTATTCAGAGCCTGTGCTTAGCAGCTTCAGTGCCTTCTGCAGATACTCAACGGCGCTCTTCACATCATCATAGTTGAGCGAGCTGCCCGCATATTTGCAATACTTTTGTGCGGTAATCATTTGTTCTGCTGTTATCTGGACGCCGGCAACTGGGACAATGGGCGTGTAAATGGCCGCGTTGGGCTGCGCTGTGGGCACATATGGCTCAAAACCACCGGGCTTCTCCTCATCCACTGGTGGACTCGGCAATTTGCTTGGATTTTGCAGCACCTCCTCGGCTGTGGGTGGTGTTACTTGCGGAACTGGGGGCGAAGATGGCGTTATGGGCTCCACATTATCGGACTTGGATTCAGCAGCTGGATCATCGGTCGGTGTCACGTTAGAAGCGCCATCATTGCTGCCTCCAGGTAGATTATCGCCGGCCAGCTCCGAAGATTCGTCGTCGGGAAAGGGACCAGGTATTGGTGTTTCGCCATTCTTCAGGCAATTGTGTATGTAGGCGGCCTTGTACTTGGCGTACTTGCGATTGTGCAGCGCCTCCTCACTCAGCTCACCAAAGGTAAGCAATATGTCATAGAGCACACCGCTGGAATAATACGCCTTGACGACGTTTCTGCAAAAAACAGCAAGGGTTTGAGATGTAGGATAACTTAATGTGTGAACTTGCACTTACTTGCCAAAGTTCTCCTCGCGATCCTGCTTGTCGGCATAGAGAAACAGCTTTAGAGCATAGTTCTCGATATGTGCCTGAGCGGCAATGTCGTTGGTCAGGGCCTCGTTGTCGGCATGCTGCTTCTTCATTTGCTCCAACCAATCCATAATAGCTGTGCGCCGCATCAAAACAAACGCAAACAATGGATGAGTCATAGTTCTGAAGAATATATGTTTATGCACGTAATCTCAATATGCGCTTACCTAGCAGCAGTTTAGTCTCTTCGGCGCTCTGTGTAGATGCCTTTAAGCCAACTTGCAGTGCACTTTATAATTAATTAAACAAAACATTGTTATTTCGATTTTTCTTTGGAATATAAGACGTCGTCGTTTACTTACTAGAGTCTTGCCCAGTAGGCTATGACAACGTCACGCGAATCATGCTCCTGTGCCAACTTCAGAAAATGTTGTATGGACTTCAGTGTCGGCGGACATGGTGGAAACTCCATCTTTGAAGTGCAAATAAAATTTATTTCCAAAAAATTCTATGAAATTCCAATGAACGCAGTAGAAATTATTGTGATTGACAGTGTTGCCTATTTAAGACAATAGTTTTTATTAAAAAAAACAGTGCGACCGTTTGACAAAAATATTATCACATATAATCATTTGGCAACACTGGCAGCAGGGCTACAAGCGAATGGCCTGCCCAAAGCAACAACTACAGGTAAAGTTGCTCAGTCTTTAAACACCGCTGCTACCAAACGGTTAGTAGTTCAGATGGTCAACACCTTATGGTCGTATGATGTTATCAATTTTAATTGCCGTACTTTGCACTTTAACCCACATCTGAAATATGCAGCAAGCTTAACTTTTAATTACACTTTATACCCAACAGCTGCAACATGGCAATTTCTAAGCCGCTGTACTCGCTCTTTGGCAGCTATTTGGAGCAGCTTTTCAATCATCCAGTGCGCACGAAATCCTTAACAGCGTAAGTATATTGTGGTTAGCTTCACTTATCAGCAATTCAATTTGACTAAATTCCCCCCGGCAGCTGCTTCCTGGCCACCTCGGCGAATGTCACCTCCCAGCGGCTGGCGGGCGCCAAGAAACTGAACCAGCACAGCGTCTTTGCGTATGGTCTGTTTGGCCTCATTTTCGGAGGCACTGTTCCGCATTATTTCTATCAAACTGTGGAGCGTTTGTTCAGCCATGATCTGCGCTTTAGGAAGTTCTTTCTGTTCCTGTCGGAGCGCCTAGCTTATGCACCGTTTTATCAGCTGCTTTCGCTGTATTTCCTCTCGATATTCGAGGTGAGTCTCTTGATTCATGTGGCGGAAACTGTTTCAATCTTTCATTCTTTTCTCCGCCAGGGCAAGTCGCACAGCACAGCAGTTGAAACCCTGAAGAAGCTCTACTGGCCCGTGTTGCGCGCCAACTGGCAGTACCTCTCGCTGCTTGTCTATCTGAATATATCCTATGTGCCGCCCATGTTCCGTACATTGAGCACGGGCATCATTTCCTTTATCTGGGTCGTATATATGGCACAGAAGCGTCGCCGCTTCCAGGAAAAGCAAGCAGCTGCCAGGTCCACATAGACAAAGCATTCCATGGAACAGTTTTGTTTTGCCATCTATATCTATGTATATGCATTTTAACACGCTCAGCGAAGATTACGCTGGACTCTTTTTTTAAACGCTTTATCTGCGTCTCAAAGGTTTCGAACCGGGCACAATAATTGCTTTAGCTATTTAAGTAGATTGAAAAAATAGTATGTGTACAGTACACTTAAGATTAGAGGGAACTAAGAGCGCGAGGGTCGCCTAATCGCTTGTAAATTTGAAATACCTTAATTGTTTTTATCCAATGTACAATTGAAATGTATTCATTTGAAATGGCAACAAATAATAATAATATTTATTTAAAAACGCAACTTACAACTAGCGAGTAATCCAAGTATATTCGAGTATTGTGTCAATTAGCTAATAAATTCAAAGAAATGGCCTAAATCAAACTTTACAACTTAGTCTCGAAGGGAATGTGTCTAAAAAAAGAGTCCTCTCTATGCACAACAATTAGCTTAAGTATCGAGTTTAGTTTTGCATATTGCGACTACATATATATATATATATCTGACTAGTTGGGTTTACTTAGAGTAGGTGTGTTTTGGGGGGTTTCCGGCTCACTTACAGTTCGCCGCACATTTTGCGCAGCGAATCTGTTAACACTCAAAAGGCTATCGCCGACGGACTTCGACTATTGTGCATCGGAGTGCCGGCGATGGGTGTGCAGGGCGAGCTGGCGCGGCTGAAGCAGCTGGAGCAGCAGCTGGAGGCATCGTTGTCCACATGATCGGCGCCATCGCCGTTGTTGATGCCCTCCCCGGACGCCTTGTGGTGATGATAGGGTATCGGCCGCTTGCGCGCGCTGCAAACAACAATATAGGGAAGATTAGATGGCGAAAAATGTTTTCGACAGAAACTTAAAATAAAGATATAATCAAAACTTACCAAACTGAAAAATTGCAATCAACAGAAATCATAAACTAAATCCTTTTTGAAAAAAAATAGAAAAAATATATAAAACTTGGCATTGGACATAATTTATTGTGCATACAAACAAAAGACGTTTGCTTCGACTAATTCGATCGAAAAAAATTATATAGTTTTTATCATGAGTATACAAATACAGAACAAAAATAATATTGCATGTGAAAAGCGAATTCGTGTAGAAAATTAAATTAAATGATAATTCCTGAGTCTGAGCTGTAAGAAAGGAAAATTAGTTAATCAAATAAATCGTAAATCAGGTGCTCTACAGAATTTTCGGGCATTTGGAAATGAATATGCAACTCAAGCGGATAACCTGCTAACGTCTGGTGCTGCGGGGCGAGCGACGGCTACAAAAATTAAATTAATAAATTAATTAAATAAAGTAAATAGATTATAGTCAATCAAATCAAAGTTGAATATAAACCTTGCAGAGTCGGGCAGTCGAAATGAATCAGATTAGTTGGAATAGAAACAGAAAGAGGAACATATATCGATTTATACTTTATGGAATCGGAGATATATTCCTTGCAAATTATAAAAAATATATAATAATAAATCCACTCTGCAAGGTTTTTCGTAAAGGAAAATAAGAACGCGAAGAAAAAGGTTAAAGTTCTGCTCCGATTTTGGTCAGTTGGGACTACCTAGTTATGCGGCGTCTGTCCAAGAAGCTGGGCGAGCCGCGGCGTCGCGGTATGGAGGGTGAACGTGAGCCGGATTGTGATGTGCCAGAGCCGCTGCTCGAGGAGCTGCCGGAGCTGCTGCGCGACGAGCAACTGGAGCGCGACGAATGCGAGCCGGAGCGCGATCTCGAGCTGCACGAGCCGCTGCGACTGCTCGACGAGCTATACCGACTGCAACAAAATATATATATAGATTAGTTTTAGGTTCTCCAATTTTGTGGCCCGCTTGAACTTACGATCTGGACCGGCTGCTGGAGCGTTGGCGATGCCGACTGTTGCTCGTGCGCCGTTTGCTGCGGCTGTGATCGCTGCGCCGCGAACGGCTGCGGCTGCGTCGCGCGGCGCTCTCCGCTGCGGCGACCGTTGCCGTCGATACCTTGGAAACGATGGCATCGACCAGTGTGCTGTCCGCCAGGGCCGCAACTAAGGGCTGTGGATCGTGAATTTTGAACGGTTTTATAACAATTTTCGGTTTCTGTTGCTGATGATGATGATGATGATAGCTAATACTATTGGCGGCCACCGCTGCGGCCGCTGCAGCCGCATTGAAGCCCCGGCCATGCTGCGACGGATGTGTGCCGAGCAGCGCCAGGCCCGCTGCTGCGGCAGCAGCGGCCGCAGCTCCGGCACCGCCAGCACCACCACCAACGCCACCGCCGCCGCCACCACCCAATGACAACAGACCCGCCGCATGCCGGCCATGATGATGATGATGATGCACATGATGGCCACCGGCAGCGGCGGCGGCGGCGGCGGCAGCGGCTGCCAGCAGCGCATGCTGCGAACCATGCCCATAGAGATTTGGATTGTACATGCTTAGACTACGCGTCAGATGATGCTGCTGCTGCTGCTGCTGATCCCGCCGGCTGAGCAGCGGCTGCAGCCCATTGTTGTTATGCTGATTCTTGCAGATATTATAATGGGTGGCGGTCAGCAGGGGGCCATGATTGAGGCGATTCGTTGTGCGATTGTAGGTGCCGGGCGTGCCGGCCAGAAAGGGCAGCGCATTGTTCGGATTGTTGTGATTAGTATGAGGAACAGCACCAGGCGGAAGATGACCACCACCACCACCAGGACCACCACCACCAGGACCACATGCATGATTATTGTTATTGTTAGTATTGTGTCTACTGTTGGGATTGTTATTCAGCGTGCGATTGTGAAAGACGCGCTTCGTTTGTGGTCTATGGTTAAATTTGGCTATTGTTGTTGTTGGGTTAAATGTTGTTGCTGCTGTTGTTGTTGCTGTTGTTGTTGCAGTTGTTGTTGTTGCAGTTGTTGTTGTCGCTGGGACTGCTGCGCCACCATTTGCAGCCACTTGGGGCGCCTTGCAAATGGGCGGCGTATTTGTGTCCCTTTTGTCCGGCTCGGCTGCGGCCAGCGGCTGCTCGACGAGCGCCGGTCCAGCTGCTACAGGCGGCGGCGTTGTTGTTGTTGTTGTTGCTGTCGTAGTTGTTGTTGTAGTTGTTATTGTTGTTGTTGTCGCCGTTGTCAGTGGGTTAATTAAAGCGGTTACATTGTTAGCAACAAGAAATTCACTCAGCGAATTACGTTTGGTGGCCAGCACCAGCATAGATTCGCCACTTACTTCGCTGCCGCCCTCCGCATCCTTGGCTGCATCTCCGTTCTTCTCCATCGTACGGATTTTCTGCTTTGCCTTCGCCGCAATGCCGGACTTTAGCTGCTCGAGCATGCGCAGCTCCTGCAGCTCCTCGCGCTCCCGCTTGCTCTGCTGATAATCGTCGAGTGCTGTTGCCGCAGAACTCGTCTCCGGCTCGCTGCCGCCGTCGTCGCTTTGGGCGCGCAGACGCACCACAGGCGCTGGCTTGGTGTCCCGGCACTTGGACTGCTGCCGTTTCTTGTCCTGGACAATGTCCTGATAGCGCTCGGGATTGTGCTCGGCTGGCGAATAATGCAGCTCCGATGAATTGGAGCTGCCCGAGCGCCGTTTGCTCGGTCTTGGACTCGGCGTGTTGCCCTTGTCCTTCTCTTTCTCCCTCTCCTTCTCCCTCTCCTTCTCCTTTTTCGACGGCCTGGGCCTTGCGGGCGTGCCCGAGCGTTCGCGCTTCACGTGGCTGCTCTTGGCACGCTCTCGCTTCGGGCTGCTTGGCTCACGCTTTAGCTGCTCCGGCGGTGTTTGGCTGCGCCGCCGCTGCTTGCGGGGCGTGGGCGTGCCCGGCTCGCTGTGCGAGGAGCTGCTACTGGAGCTGTCCGAGGAGGAGCTCGAACTGGATGCGGCACGCTTGCGTTTTGTCTGCTCGAGCGCCACCATCACCGACTTGGTGCCCAATATATCGTTGACCGTGTCCTCGGCCGCCTTGAAGGGATTGAAAGCGGGCGCCGCTGCAACTGTCGTTTTCTTGGGCGGCACCACCAGCTCCGGCGAGCGTGTGCGCTGTCTAACGATTGCCGGCGAGGGCGTGCGCAGCTTTTTATGCGAGCGGGAACGGGAGCGCGAATGGCGACCCAATTTACGCTCCTCGCCGCGTTTCGTCGTTTGGGTAGCCGAGCGACGTTCACGACGACGCTCTTTGCTACGCTCGCGTCTTTGGCCGCGCTCCTTGGCTGCCTCGCCTTGACGTGGTCGCTCCTTCGACTTTTGTCGCTCTTTGGAGCGCTGTCTGTCCTTCGAGCGTTGTCGCTCCTTTGAGCGTTGTCGCTCCTTGGAACGCTGTCTATCTTTAGAGTGCTGCCGCTCCTTGGAGCGTACTCTCTCCTTTGAACGCTGTCGCTCTTTGGAGCGTTCCTTCACCTTTGATCTCTGCCGCTCCTTGGAGCGTTCTTTCTGCCTCTCCCTGGAGCGCACTCTCTCCTTTGATCTCTGCCTTTCCTTGGAGCGCAATCTCTCCTTGGATCGTAGTCTCTCGTTCGAGCGAGGTCTCTCCTTAGAACGCTGCCTCTCTTTGGAGCGGAGTCTCTCTTTCGAGCGCAGTCTCTCTTTGGAGCGCAGTCTCTCTTTGGAGCGCAATCTCTCTTTGGAGCGGAGTCTCTCTTTGGAGCGCTGTCTCTCTTTCGAGCGCAGTCTCTCTTTCGAGCGCTGCTTCTCCTTTGGACGCTCCTTTGATCTTTGGCGTTCCTTTGACTTCAGTCGCTCCTTCGATCTGGCTCTGTCCTTGGACTTTTGTCGCTCCTTCGATCTGGCTCTGTCCTTGGACTTTTGGCGCTCTTTGGAACGCTCTTTGCCGCGCGACCGTTGCCGATCCTTTGATCTTTTCCGCTCGTTGCGCCTCTCCTTGGAACGCTTGCGCTCCTTCGAGCCTAATCTCGGCTTGGAACGCTCTCGTTCTTTGGAGCGTTGCCTTTCAGTCTCTCGGCGTGGCGGTGTTCGTGTCGTTCGTTCCTTGGATTTGTGACGGCGACTAGCGCTGCGCTCCCGTTTCTCCGTCGAGGAGTCATTGCGACGCGACTTGTTGTCCTTGCGTCGCTCGGGCGAACGACTGCGAAACGGATTCTCCGGAGTCGTGCCATTATCCACAACAGCCGCCCGAGATTTGCCCGACTTTTTATCCTTGGGCGCCGGAGAGCTGTGAAAATGTTCGTGTTATTTAGCATATTGATAAAGATATTAGATGATAACTTACTTGGAACGTGCCGAGTCCGTGGAGCTGGCACGTGCGCGTTGGCTCTTCTTGAGCTTTTTGTCGCGTTTTTTCTGCATAATAAAAGAGTGAGAGTTATTAACAAGAGGAACAGCTAACGGCAACAAAGTCTAACTGTTAGCAATTGTAGATAATTATTGATATAGTATATGTATTTATAAAAACACAGTTTTCATTCAGTTGATGATCATGGCATGATATATATGTACGTATATCTCATATGAAAGCTCGCCTTGGGCTCGATGGAATTATTTTTATTATTAGCTGTGTGTTCGGGCTGAAAAAACATATTTTGCATTGGATAGATAAGAGATTGAACTTATTTTGGATTGCAGTAGCAATTAGTCGGTTCACGCAATTCTATATATGCTATATATATATGTATAATATATGTTAAAGAAAACAGACAAATGAAAGTACTTACAAAACTACAAGAGAGCCTTTGAAAGCTATCCTATATCAATGAAGCGCCAAGGGTTTTTATAAACAAAATATAAATTTTCTTTTTCGTTTCTTGAAATTACTTGTAAATTTAATTTGATTTGATTTGGTTTTTTTTTTCTACATAGAACTGAAAAGTTTACGCAATAATTGAAAAAGGAAAATAAGTTAAAACTATGCACAAAATTAATTTATAGGCAAACTTATAAATTAGCATTGTGCAGAGCTCTATTTTAAATTTATTTTCTAGCTATACGAAATAATTAAATTCAAACTAAACAAATTTCTAAATAAATAAACAATTTATAAAACTAGTTTGTGTTATGCGTTTGAAGCCGTTTTTACCTTTTACAATATTTGTGGGGTGATTTTTTTTTGTCATTATTTTTTTTTTTTCGTTTTTCTTTTTGGATTTTTACTAATTATTATTTATGCGGTTGGTAATATTTTATATGCAGGTCTTAAAGTTCAGTACTTGGTTAATTTTTTTTGTTTTTGATTAGTAAATGTTTTTTTTGGTGGAAAAAAGAAGTAAATAAGCAAGAGAAGAAATGGCGTATGTTAAATATTTGGTGAACAATTGAAACAACGAAAAACGATAAAGTCAATCGAGTTATCATCATCATCATATTATGTATATAGGCATTATATATATATATATATATGTATATCGAGAGAGAGAGAAACAATTATATTCATTTAGACATAATTTGTATTGGAAACAAGTTTCATCAGATGATTTTATACAATAGAGAAAATTATTATATATATTATATGATATAGTTAGTATGTGAAGAGTTTAAGATTGATTAGAATTAGAATTCATTAAAAGGTTTTAATCATGAGACTTTATGAATAGCTCTCAGCACATGCACTCCTCGGGCAATTACTGGTTTTATGGACTTTACTTCCCCGAACATTTCTCTCATTCAGTTTTTTTTTTCATTTTGACTTTTTGTTTACCTTCTCCTTTTTGGCTTTCTTGCGCGCGCTCTTCAACTCACGCTCGGCATCGCTGCTATCGGGCTCATCCTCGCTATCCTTGTCGCTATCGTTGCTATCGCTGCCGCTGTATTTGCGCTTGCGGGACTTCTTCTTTTTCGACTTACTGCAAATAGAATGGTTTGAGTTTGGGATTAGTGGCCATGTAAATTGGTGCCCAAAACTGAGGCTAAACAGTTTCAGCTAGTGTTTTTTTTTTTGGTGGACGCGTCCCAAATGGAGCCTGGCAGCAACATTAAGAAGTGTTTTGTTTTGTTTTGTTTAAAGAGGTTGATTAACTTGTGGTTTAGTGCTTTACCTTCATCGAAAACTGCTCAAAAATGCATTGTCTTAATAATAGTAAGTAGGTTAATAATAATAATAGAAAGAAAGATGAGAAAGTAATTCGCATTTAATTGTTGCAAAACACAGTTTGGTTCCTTAACAACGAGACTTTTCTTAAACTTTATGCTTGTCATGTTGTGTGTGTGTGTGTGTGTGTGTGTAAGGATATGATGTGACATTAAAGACCGCACAATTTTGTAACACAATACAATTAGATATAATTAACGAATTTTACTTACCAAAAGCTGGACAAGATCAATGTGAATGTGGAAAGCGAAATGTGTATTTGTGTGTGTGTGTGTGGGAGTGGTTGTGCGTGTGTGTGTGTGGGCTTAGAGATTAGTGTAGAATAGTATTTTAAAAAAAAAGAGGATAGAGCCCATAGAACCCTACACTTAATAAGAAAATAAAACGATGCTGTCAGCCAAATATGATTATCAAAGTATATTATAATACTTTTCTTTTTTTCTTTTTCCTTTTGGGAACACACATTAGAAATGCATTTCATTTCGCTGTGTTTTATATAATATTGTTTGGTTTTTATATATATGTATATATAGTTAAGCTCATTTTATAAACTAGATAATAATATGTGTATGCAAATTTCATTTGTACATAACTTTTCGCTTCTTTTTACTTTCTTTCTCATATGAGTCCCTTTTGTTTGGTATCAAGTTTTCAAATGCAATGTAAAAGAAGGAGTAGAGACGAAAAACACAAAACGTATTAAGCAGTTGTTTTTGTTAAATTACAAAAAAGGTTTCGTTCGTTTTCGGCAAATTTGCATTTGACTAACACGTACAACAATAGAATGTTTAGAAGATACTAAATCAAAACCAAATAGTTTTACAATGGAACATAAAATTCATGATTTAGCAAAAGATTTCTTTTTTTTTTTTCGAAATAAGGAAACTAGTTAGAAACACAGAGAGCTACAAGTGGGTTAGGACTCGGTGCTTGGGCTACTTGCGAGCTCTTACCTCTCTTTCTTGTGCTTCTTGGACTTCTTCTTCTTGTCCTTGCGACGCTCAGGACTCGCCGAACTGGAAGGCCAAAAGAAAGTCAGTTGGTTTTGGTTTCATTTATATAGCATATATGGGCTAACCTCTCCCTGGCGCGCTTCTTTTTCTTCTTTTTGTCCGACTTGGACACGTGCACACGCTCATCGCCGCTTTGGTTGGCCAACAGTGCATCCGTTTTGCCAGCGCCGACAGCTGCCTCCGGCGAGGGCGTGCGCAGGAGCGCATATCGTTTGCCCGTCTCCTTGTCTTTGCCACCTGCTGCTGTCGCCGCCGCCGCAGCCGCAGCCGCTGCGAGGCTCTCGCGCTGCGCGTCCAGTTCCTTTTGGAGCGCCACACTCTTGGCTAGATCCTCCTTGGATTTGCGATCGCTATCAAAGCTGCTGCCCTCCACAAAGTACTCGGATATGTTGAAGGCCTCGCGCAACTTGGCGTTCTTTTGCTGCTGTGCCTCAGCGATTTGATGGGTTTCACGCACGCTGCAAGCAAAAGAAAAAGGGTTTTTAGTTATGGGCAAGGATGAAGACGTGGATAAAATAGCCGGGTAACTTATGTATGTAGACACGGGACACTTGAGGTGGCATTTACCTTGCCGCCGCCGCTTTGCCGGCGCCGAGCAGCAGCGTTTCGAGCCATGTGCTCGACGAATGCTTGAGCAGCTCGAGCAGTGCCGGCAGCGCCTGGCCCTTCAGATTGCGTGTCCTGTCTGACTTTCTGCTTTCCCCTGCCCGTTGACTGGCAACAGCTGTTCGCACTTCCTGCGGGCATTGCGTCATTTGCGTATTTTGGCAAACGCAGGCGCAGTCGTTAGGCGGCTTCCTCGACATTGCTGTGCGCCTGTTCTTCTTGGCGCCGCTTGCCAAAACCGGCTTGAACTTCTTGGCCACGGCGGCATAATTGAGTGCCGCCGCCGTTGTGGCCTGTGCCGTGAAGTGGAAACTCTCGTATTTGGCTATATACTCGCGATTGTCGTGCTGGAAATATTGTGCCTTGCGTTTCCGGCCACCGCTAACAGTCGACGCTGTCGCAGCCACACAACCGACAATGGCCTTGGCGGGGTTGCTGCTGCTGCTGCCGTTGTCGTTGCCGTTGCTCTTCCCACAGCCGGTTGCGTGTCCTGCGCGTTTGCGGCGCTTGCGTCGCTTCTTCGTCCGCACGACCTGCAACGTGCCGCTGAACGCATTCATCGTGCTGCTGCTGGCCGTTGCCACAGCCGTCGCCGTCGCAGTTGCCGCTGCTGCTGCTGTTGCAGTCGTTGTGTTTGTGTAGATTTCCGAGGAGAGCATTTCGCGTGGAGAGTTCGTCTCTTGCTCTTTTTGTTTTATTGGGGGTTGTTTGGGCAAGTGGATGTTTTCGGTTTTGAATATAGTTTTTTATAATTTTTTGTAACTTATTTTCATGTGAATATTCAATTATACAAGAAATATTTGTTTTATTTAAGTTATTTCCAGTTTTGGTTAAATATTTTTATAAATTTAAATTGCTTTATTTTTTTCTCACTATTTTACTTGTTTATATTTTTTTCCGGTTTTATCTTCACAATTTTATAAATTTTTTCTTTAATTTTTATTATTGTAAAAATGTATTAAATATAGTTTTTATGTATAAAAATAAAGTTTTTCCACAATTTGTTAAGGAAGACGGGGAATATTTAATATTTGTGGATTCCCGATTTTGTAACTTTTATATATATTTATGTTTTTCCAGAGTTAAGACTGGAGTATTTCGTTTTATAATAGAACTTTCTATACGTTTGTTTTTTATGTATTAAATAGTTTTGTCCACAGTTTGTTCAGGAAGACAGCGGATTATACTTAATCTTTATATAGTTATTTATAGTTATTTATATTTTTTTTATATTTTTGTATATTCCAATTGATTTTTTCAACGTTTGATCAGGAAGACATTGGATTGTATTATATTAATTTAATTTAATAATTAATAACAATATTTATTGTAATGTTTTTTTTCACGATTTTGCCAAGAAAATGGTTTTGAATGTTTAAATAATTTAGTTTAAATATATTCATTTAATATAAGTCATTGTTTTCATTTTCCAAAAATTTATCAGGAAGACAGTGGATTATAAATATATATATATTTATTGTGGTTTTGGATTTATACAAGTTTTTATTTAAATTAATATTTTTATGTTGTTGATTTGGTTTTTCTCATAAAAGACATAAACCTTCATAGATGTTTTGAATTTCTATTATTTTTTTTACTTTTTTGTTTATAGACACGATTGTTTAATAATTTTTTAACTATTATTCGTTCCCGGAAGACTTTGGAATCTTTTAAATTTGTTATATATATTTTTTTAATATATTTTATATAAAAATAAACTTTTTTATGTACTTAATTTAACCGCTTGGAAGACGTTGGATTAGCTTTTATGTAGAATTACACTTTGGCTACATTTGCCTTAAATTGTTAATTATTTTTCATTCATTTACAACTTTCATCGTTAATTGGAAGACTTTGTTGTTTTATATACTTGATATTTACTATAATTTATAGTTCGAAATACTCCGTTGAAGCAAACGAATTGCGCTCGCTGCCGACTCCATGAAACGACTAAAACTAATTGCGAATTACAAGCTACGTTTGGAAGACTTATTTAGTGATTTGTTGCTTTCGGTTTGTTGGATCAAGTGTGGCGCTCACATTACGCTCAGGAGCTTAATGCTCCATTTTACACACTTGCTATCAATTTCCACAACAACAGCAACCACTAGAATACGACGACGACGACGACGACGACGAAGCTAATCGGCTGTGATTAGGATGAGCTGGTAGCCACCACCAGCTAGTATAGAGGCCGAGCATGGCTGGGTTTTTCTTTTTATTTCTTGGGATTAGTGCGTCCAGCTGCACACTTGAAGGGCTGCTCGTGCGTTGGCATATTGATTGCATTTTCCCCAATCGCCGCATTTTCAACTGTTCCTTTTTCTTTTCAGTTCTTTTCATGCGTTTTCTGTGTCAGCTATTGATTTTTCCAGCGCTGCGGCAACATTTTCCACTGCCTTCACAATCCTGGCGGCCGCGTTCATGTTGTCCTCGTCGCCGTCGCTGTTGCCAGGGCAACTTAAACTTTTCCTATTTCTATGTTTTGTTTTTTTGTTTTATTTCTAGTTGAATTTATTATTTTTATTTAAAATAATTAATTTCCTGAGCGCGTGTGCCAAACGTTGGCGTTGGAAGACTTGATGTGACTGTGCTGAAAATGGCATCCTTGCGGCAGATATTTCTCTACAACTCCGCGTGTTTTGATTGGCGCCTGGACCAAAGGTGGTTGGGTGGGTGGTTGGGTGGCTTCTCTCGCTGTGCGCAGCCGGCGGCGCATGTGGTGTGGTGGCCAGTTTAACAGCTGGCTGAGATTTGATTTGGACACGCGACACGAGCAGGCGTGTTTTTAGTTCAGGCGTTTATTGATTTGTCCAGGCGCTCAATTTTTGATTTAAATTACATAATTCCGACTAACTATATTTAGCTACGACTAAATGTAAATGCAGCTACTTACGCTACGCGTCCAAATTCATCCTTGGCCAAATCGGTTTTGCCTTGGCCCATTAATTTCTGGCGATACGTGTCCACGTGCGACTTGATCTCCTCCGGCGTGCGTCTGTTATTGGGTCAGAAAACAAAAAAAAGAATAACAATTAGAAAAATAAAACAAAATCCAGCAACTAAATTGTTTAGTCAGGAATATTTGCTAAAAATACCTTTTAGACTTGAGTAAAACTTAAAGATTTATAAATTTCACTGCTTAGATATTATATGTTTTTTGCATTTTAAGGCCTCCTTTTTTATTTTTTTTTTTTTAATGTTTATGCATAAACAATTAGAAACTTTTGACCACTCAGAAAGTTGTCCGCTTTATTGTGGAACGCGGATGTGCTCTATTGAAACAATCTCTACAACTGAAATGCAGTTTTCCACCACCAGACCAGCGCAGGCCAGGCTCAGGCTGCGTCGTTGTCTGTCGGAGGCCAACGGAAGTAGCGGAAGGGTAGAGATGAACGCGTGAAAAGTTGGGGTTTTTGTATAGGCCCAACATCTCATATATGTCAGCAAGGGTTTAAAAGCTTGATCTACCCGCAAATCTTTTTTATTTTAACGCATTTTGTGTCCAATACTTTTCGAACTTCTGTGCAACATCGGGAACGTGCCAGTTTTGATTTATCAAGTATTTTTCGTGTCACGAAAGAAAGCACGACACGCGCTCAGCTTTAGGCCGAAGCGCTTATGTGTGACACAAAAGTTGAGTAGGGGGTGGTTGGGCTGGCTGGTACTGGGCAGGCGGGCGGTGCTCTTGCAGCAGGGTTGGTGGTGGGTTGCTGCTGCGGCCACCGCTGCCACCGCTGCTGAGCGCGCGCTCTCTGGCAGCTACCAGGCGCCGAATGTAAACATAAGAGCAGCAAGCAGCGGGGAGCGAATGTAAATATTAGCACGTTGGAGAGGAATGCATGGCCCGAATGCGCACAGTGTTGGCGACCGGTGTTATATAACGCCAATATTGCATTACATGCAGGAGGCAGCTGCCAATTGACTGGATATGGCAGCCCCATTTGAAATGCGACATATTATTTGACTTACCCTTGCTTCTCGAGTATTTCTTCGAATTCAATGCACTTCACCTCGATCTTGCGCTTGCGATCGTGATCAAGTATCTCCTTGTTTGGCGGCCGATTGAGCTGTGCGTCCAGCTTTTTGGTATCATCTTCGGCACGGTAGTCCTTGTCCTTTTTGCCCGGTCGCACAAATGCCCAATTGCGCTGCACATGTCCATTTGTGCCGGAGCCACGCGGCGTCGTCAGGCCAATGCCGTTGTACATATTGAGCGGCTCCTTGTCGCTAGGTAGCTATCTTTGCTGGTTTAAACGTTTACTTTTTCGTATGCATCAGCGTTTGGAACGGCGCAGCTGCTCCGCCAAATGTGCAGTTTGCAAACACAAGAAAAATCGATTTTGTCTAGCAGGCAACGCCAACGCCGGTGCAACTCTAACTATCGATATATTTGCAGCACTGCGATATAATATCGATATTGCTGTAATCGAGAATCGTAAACAAAAATTGCACATTACTTTTAACAAAATACGATTTGTGCTGCTTAATAATATGCAAACAGACAACAAACAGGACAAGGAGGATGCGGAGGAGCCTACCAAAGTGGTTTTTAAGAAGTCGTCCCGCAAAAATCTGCGCCAGCGCAAAAATTCAGATGAAGGCGACAAGGAGGAGCAGTACGTATATAAAGTATTTATGTATTAACACATTTAATCAAACTATTTTTCAAACAGGCTCACCCTCGACGAAATCAAGGAGCGACAACGCTTACGACAGCGTCCCAATGGCGTCAGCTTAGTAGGCCTGGCGCTCGGCAAGAAAGTGGCGCCGGAGGAAGAGCTGGCCATCAAGGATCCGTTCAATGTGAAAATTGGCGGACTGGTCAACATGCAACAAATGAAATCCGGCAAAATGAAGGAAGCCGATGATGCCTATGATGTGGGCATCGGTACGCAATTCTCGGCCGAAACCAATAAACGTGACGAAGACGAGGAAATGATGAAATATATCGAGCAGGAACTGCAAAAGCGCAAAGGCGGCGCTGCAGATGAAAACGAGAATGATGATAGCGATGCCCATAAATATCTTACACCCGAGGATGCGGCACTGTACGCGCTGCCCGACCACTTGCGTCAGTCCTCATCGCACAGATCCGAAGAAATGTTGTCGAATCAAATGCTAAATGGCATACCCGAAGTGGATCTGGGCATTCACGCCAAGATTCACAACATCGAGGCTACGGAGGATGCCAAGCAAAAGCTGCTGCAGGATGCCAAGAACAAAAAGGATGGACCCTCGCAGTTTGTGCCCACCAACATGGCAGTCAATTTCATGCAACACAATCGCTGTAAGCCTTTTCCTATTCACCAACTGCTTGTTACTAAATAGATCTTTCCTCAATTCCAGTTAACATCGAGGACAACAACGAGCAAAGGAGACGCAAGCGTGAGGAAAAAGATGGCAACAACAAATCGGCGCAGCATCAAACGAACCCAAATGGCGTTAAGCGCGCAACGGATGATTATCATTATGACAAGTTTAGAAAACAGTTTCGCAGATATTAAAGCAAGAGTACAAATTTTTATAAAACGAATTTTTATTCTACTAATTTCAACATAGAAGTGGTTTCCTGTGCTGAGTCCACGTCCTTTCCGTTTTCTGAAATATATAAAAATAAGATGTGATAAGTTTAGTTTGTTATTAAACGTTGCTGTTTAAAACTAAAGCAAATTTGTTCAGAGAGAGAAGTTGATTTCATAGCAACGAATGACTGAAGCTCAATGAGATTCCTACTTGAATAAATCATCATAATAAATGAAAAGAGCTTAAATACAACTTATTGTCTATGGAACAAGAATTTAATACACACCTTTAGGAGAATCAAAGACAGTTGACAATCAATTCTGTTTCCAACTGAAAAGTAAAAACGGATAACAAAAATATTAGTTTAAATCTAGGAGAATTCATACAGTTAGGATAGATATTTTCTTCAGTGAGAGAAGTTGATTTCATAGCAACGAATGACTGATGCTCAATGAGATTCCTACTTGAATAAATCATCATAATAAGTGAAACATAATTTATTATCTATTAAACAATGTCTGTATACACACCTTTAGGAGAATAAAATACGGTTGACAATCTATCCTGTTTCAAACTGAAAAGTCCAAAGAAAAATATAAGATAAGTTTGAATCTAGAAGATTTCATACAGTTAGGATAGATATTTTGTTCAGTGAGAGAAGTTGATTTCATAGCAACGAATGACTGAAGCTCAATGAGATTCCTACTTGAATAAATCATCATATAAAAATAGAAAGCTTTTAATCAAAAAATAGTACTTACTCTTTTAGAAAAATTAATTTGCCCAGCACCAAACTGAAAAATATTATAAATTAGTTAAAAAGATCAGATTTGATAAGATTTAAATGCAAATCTCACCTATTAAAAAGGATGATCCAGTCAAGTCTTTGCTGAAACCATCTGAAATTATAATAATAATACCAACCCAATTGCAAACCCATTCATTCTGTTGTTATTAGAGTTTTTGTGATTTTTTTATTATACCCAGACAACATTGAAACGTTCATCCTCGCTCTATTTTGTCAGCTTAGTTATTACTTTGTTTATAGAAAAGAATTCTACTGTTAAAATGTAAAACGCGATGTACGTTCCCATTTTGCATGTTTATATGATGCCGATCTTGTTGGCGATATCAAGAGCATCGTAGTCACGCGCCAGGCGCACATAAGCCTTCTTCTGACCATCGGGCCTAATCAGAATGTTAACCTTAGCCACCTTGATGTCGTAGAGCTTACGCACTGCGGCACGCACGTGGTTCTTGTTGGCGCGCAGGTGTGTGAGGAAGACCAAGGTGTTGTTATCCTCGATCTTCTTCATGGCTGCTTCCGTGGTCAACGGATATTTGATGATGTTGTAAGCATCCATGCGGTTCCTGGTGGGCACCGACTTCCTGGGGTATTTAGGATTGCGTGGCAGCTTCAACGTTGTTGGACGACGGAAGTGCACATTGGTGCGGATCTTGCGTGTGCGTGTACCGAAAGCGCCCTTGATGATCTGTTTGGTATTCATAGGAAAACATATTGAATTAACTTCCATTTGCTACGCTCAGCCCTCGGCACTTGCTCACCTTGGTCTGCACCTTCTTGGCGTTCAACAAGGCAACAGCCTTGGCCTTAGCCGTACCCTTGGCGGGCTTGGCACCAGCCTTGCCCACGGGCTTCTTGCCCTTGGCAGCAGCACGTGCCTTGGCGGAGAGCTTGGCCAGCACAGACTGGGGCTTCTTGCCAGCGCCCAATTTCTTCTTCAGATCCTTAGCCTTTGGCTTGGTGATTGGCTTCTTCAGGGCGGGCTTCTTTGCAGCGCCAGCGGCTGGCTTCTTGGCAGCACCAGCAGCGGTAGCGGGCTTCTTGGCGGGAGCAGCAGCCTTCTTGGGGGCAGCAGCCGCTGCAGGCTTAGCTGCAGCTGGTGCATCCTTCTTGGCAGCAGCAGGCGCCGCCGGAGCCGCCTTCTTCTGCTCTGGCTTCTTATCGCCAGGCTTTGCTGTAATTGGCAATTAACAAAATAAATTAACACTGGTAAACAGAGCTGCAAAAAAGTTGGGTTAGGCACGAACGCACAACGCTAGGGCAAGCAGCAACAAACACAGCAGTCTTCATTTTTAATAACAATTGCACTTGTATTTAATATTAAAAACGCTTATTGCTTAAATACAGCTCTTGGCAGCTTCACACACGCATTGTACATTGTTTTCAATGCCGAGTCGCAGCCACACCGCACGTGGCGCAAATATGGCGACACATTTTCAGTTATATTTGGTAGAAATTCTTATTTTAACACATTTCTACATATATCCGTGCATTGTGCTTGCTTTAACCTTGCTGTTGATGACAAAACCACACATTTTTTAGGCATTTTTATATGAAAAATCCTTACCGGATTTCTCGGTTGGCTTTTTAGGTGGCATTTCTACGAGAAAAAGAAATGAAAAGGAAAACTGAGGGGCATTTGACAAATGAGCGGAAGCCCATTTTGACAGTAGCGTGGCCAGATGCGTAGCAAGTGGCAGCGCCTTATGACGATGTATGGTAAATGGCAACGCTAAGCAACGTGCAGTTAAAACAGAGTGGCAGGCCAGTGGCAACGCTATAAAGAAATTAAATGAGATGGCAGCCCTGTCTGTCAATAAAAAACCGTTTTTTGTGTGCAGTAAAATTAAAATGTATTTATAAAAATAAAATGTGAACCGTGTGCATTTATCAGCAGCCACAACCACTTTTTTGTTTGCTGGAGCGACTTGTGAAATAACTACGTAAGTCTGAAAATAACATAACAAAATTATCGAAAAATTTGCAGCGACCTTTGTAACTTACCAAATTTTTGCGACTTTTCGGGTGTTTGTGTTGTCTGCTCCTGTGCTGTGCTCTTTATTAATTTTAATTGTTGCTGCATGGCCGTTTCAAAGGCCAATGCGGCCAAACGTTGAAAAAACTCGTTGATTTTGTAACCGGAACGCGCCGATACGGACCAATATTCGGCCTGCAGCTCGGCAGCTGCAACGCCTGCGATGCGCTCCATTCGCATAAACTCCTCCTTGGTCTGGGATGAAAAAATGCCTAAAGATTGGAATGCTTGAAAATATGTTTGGGCTCACCAATAGATCTGCCTTTGTGCCCACTAGAAACACCAAAGGTTTCTGCGTTGTGTTGTAGTTGAGGGCGCTGGAAAGCCACTTTTTGGCAGCCTCTAGAGACTCGCGCTTGGACATGTCGTAGGTGGCCACAATGACTAGAACAGAAGGGGATGAGGGAATGATTTCAAAAAGCTGCATGCTTACCACTAGCATTGCGATAATAGGCGCCCGCTATGCACTTGAAGCGCTCCTGGCCAGCCGTGTCCCACCTGCAAGCAAAAAAGGGGCTAGAAATTTGGGTGCATGCCTTGGAGCTGTCCACTTACATCTCCAGGCCGAAGTTGTGACCCAATATGCTGAAGTTCTCCAGCTCAAAGTCAACGCCAATGGTCGCCTTATAGTTCGACTGAAACTTGTCGTAGCAGAAGCTGTGCAAATGCCAACAAGATTCAAACAGAGTTCTCCTCTAAATTTCTTCCTCGGATTACAACTTGACTCACCGATTCACAATGGCCGTTTTGCCGACGGCGCAGTCGCCCACAAAGATGACCTTGCAGGGACGCAGCTTGGGTTTGCGCGGCAGCTCCAGTTGGTAGCGCAGCTGGGGCGCAAAATCCTTGTCCCGGCTGTACGGCGTCTGGGCGAGGCTGTAGGCGGGCGGCAAATGTCTCAAATGGGTGCGCGGATCGTGCAGGTTCGCCGTTGGCGTCGCGGGCAACAACAGATTCTGGCGCAGCCGATGGGGCATTGTGTACGTCTCGTTGCCAACTGACAGCGAGACGAGCTGCGGTCGCAAGCCAAAGCGGAAAACTGCGCCACAAAACCACAAGCCTCGGCCTGAACTTGGGCGGCTATCAAGTGCTCAAGGTGCGCCACAGGTGCTGCGACTCTATATGCAAATATGCCTCCGATAATGCAGAGCCCTCGAATTGGGTTAACCAGCGATAGCAATGTGGCACAGAGCTAGCCCAATCTTGGCTAGGGATTTCCCCATGTGAATTTAGTTGAGTTTTCGCTGTGATTCAAACTTGGAAAGCTGAGATTTGCGTAAGCTAATACCACATTAATTGAGAAGAGATTTATCCAAGTAATCCAAACATAGAACTGTAGAAAAGTTCTTTCAATTTTAGATATGTTTGTCTTAGAGTAATGTCTATATGGACAGAAAACAGGTGGAAAATTACCCAAGGTTATATTTACATAAATCCAAAGAAATGCGATTGGAAGCTAAGGCAGAGTTTTAGAAAATTCCACTCGTACATGGTTGAAAATTCGTGGAACTTTTTTGTTTTCCTTCCAATCGCCTGCAAACTTGTTTTCATTTCTTTGCGATGTTTTTCACGCTTTTCGGGTAAATCACGCTGCTTGGTGGAAAATGGGGGACATTTAATTGAGAATTGTTATACGCTTTTCGGGTAAATCACGCCCCTGAACTGTAGACATGAAGGGCTCCGCACAATTTCAGCAACCGCCTTCAAAACTCATTTTCAAATGTCTTTATTAAACATTTCTTTGAGATGTGATTCACGCTTTTCCTCGTAAATCACGCCCCTTTGTGGAAAATTGGGAACATTTATTAGCTCCTTTATAGCTCCTTTATCCTTTATTTTTCTTTTGTTTCACGCTCTTCGGGTAAATCACGTCCCTTTAGTGGAAAATGGGGGACATTTATTTGAGATGTGTTTCACGCTTTTCGAGCAAATCACGCACCTTGGTGGAAAATGAGTAATAAAAGTTGTTTAAAAGACCTGGCAAGATTGAAACAAGTTTATTGCTCTGCTGTGTGCTTGTCGCCTCCAGGATAATTAAAGGAGCCCACGCTCTTGACCTGCTGCAACAGGTCCGGATCCAAGGCCAGGGCCTTGAAGAGGGCACGCTTCAGCTGCCTGTACTGAAAGTGCGGCGGGAAGGGCATGTCCTCAAAGGCGAGCATGAGGAGATTGCCAGCCTCATTGCCCACGGCCAGGGAGCGACCACACTGCGTAAAGCTGGAAATGGAATGGAAATGGAAATGGAATGGAATGGTAAATAGAGGGAGCTGCTCACCAGAAGGTCGTGTAGTCAATCTGGGCATCGATTGTGGTGGACGAGACGGGCTTCAGTGTGCTGTTGCGCAGATCCCAAATGTCGATGGTGTTGCGGCTGAGCGAGACCAAAATGGTCGAATGGGTGCGGCTCCAGCGGGCGCAGTGCACCGGCGACAGATGATGATGCAGTGTGATCAGCGGCAGCAGGATGCCGCCCAGCCAGATGCGAATGCACCTGGACAGGAACAAGGATTAGATGGATATTGAAGCCAAGAGGAATCTGGCAAAAACTCACCAATCGCTGCCGCAGGTCAAGTAGAGCTTGGGGGACCAGGGTGAGAAGTCCATGCAGACGGCGGGCGTTTCGTGCACCTGGCGCTGTTCCAGATGCTGCAGTGGATAGTTGGTGGAGCACTTGTACATGGTGCCCTCATCGGTGAGCACATAGTAGAAATCCGTTTGCAACGGATCCAGCACGAGTTCCAGGCACTGCACATGGCGATTCGCGAGTAGCGGCACACGCTGTGCCGGACACTGGAGAGGAATCCCCTCCAGCTCGGCCTCGGCACGCTGAAAATACTGATGCTGAAAGCCCAACAGATGCGGACTGTTGATCAGCTGGTATTTGGTAATGGCGCCCGACTGCGAGGCAGCCAGAAAGGGCGTCATATCGGGCTCGCCGGGCACATCGCCATCGGTGCGCTGTATCCACTTGATGGATGTCACCGGCTCGAAGTGGGGCGAGCTGCTGCGCTGCGAGCTGGCCAGCGGCGGCTGATCCTCCGGCTGTGATATGTCACGCACCTGGACATCCCCGTTGTGAAGGCCAATGGCCAAGAGTTGAGGTGCCGCCGGCGCGAACTGCACCGTGACCACCGGCACGGGATAATTGTAGCAGCGTTCCGGATTCACCGGATTCTTGATGTTCCACACATAAACATAGCCGGGACTGCTGCCCGGCTGCTTGCCCAGCTTGGCATAGGTATAGATGCCATAGGACACGGCCATAATGTCGCCGTTGCTGGGACAAAAGCTGACCCCGGTCACCGCCTGCCGTGCTCTGGCCGCCGGGGAGGGTGCACTCAGACGCCAGAGCAGGCGCAGCCGGTACTTGAACTTGACGTCCTCGGCGAGCGGATCGGGCGGCGTCATATTGCGAAATCGTCGCTGTTCCGGCTCGTATACATTGCTGGCCAGGATGCGCATGGTGAGCATGAGCGCCAGCCTAAAGCTGGGCAGCTTGTTGATTTCCACAAACTGATCGACGCCGCCCACGCGATAGGTGGTCACCTCCATTTTCTGGGCGCCCTGCACCTGGACGCTCTTCGTGGACGCCTCCAGGTCCTTGTACGTGTCGAACATCTCGAAGTTGGACACATAGGAGGCCACCTGGTCGGTGCGCAGGCGTTCCGTGTTGACCAGCCGCGACTTCAGCAGCGTCGATATCGTCTGCGTTTCCGAGTCGACCGTACGCCGGGATTTGTCTGTGCCCGCCAGCAGCTGCTCGTATCGCTCGTTATCCGCCAGCACCTGGCGCCCCTCCTCGCTGTCCGCCTCGGCCGTCATGCTGCGCCGCTCGAACAGCACCACAAGCGGCGTCTTGCGCAGCAGCACTTTGATAAAGGGCGTGGCCGCCAGCTTGGCCGATTTGCGAGCCGCGGCCGCAAAGCTAACCGTTTCGGCTTTGTCCCTGTCCCTGTCCCTGTCCATGTCGCCGCCCAACTGCAGCTTGTACAGATTTATCTGGAGCAAGGCACAGAGAATACAGATATGGAAGGGGTTTTCCAATCATTTTGTACTCACGCCTTGCGCTATGTCATCTAAAGAGGCGCGCATCACGCATTTGGTGCGATATTCGGGCGAGCGCAGCTTCTGCATGGGCAGCTGCTCCGCAGGAGTCGTCTTCATCAGCGGATGATTCCTGATCAGCTGGCTGAGCTGCTGGAAATCAGCAGCTCGATAATCCTTGTTCAACGGCCTGGACATCTTGGCTGATAATATTATAATTTAGTGGCTATTGTAGTGCTTGGATATACCCTGTACTAATAGGAAATGGTTAGAAGTGGGGTATATTGCAGTTGTGCCCAAGTATGTAACAGGCAGAAGAAGGAACGAGAAGTATCCTATTTATAATATGAGATCTCGTACACCATAAGAGGTAACTTTCTTTTATCTCCAAGCGTTTTCTCAAATTCGATAAATATCGATTTTTGGTTCTGGTTCTTATATCATATATCGATAGTTTATATGAGCTAGATTTGCAAAAATCCCATGTAGTAGACACAGATCAAGATTATTTCACTGTTTGAATAACTCCCTGCGTTCCCTTTAAAATAGAAATTTCGACTAGGGCTATATTTAAGCCCTGAAAATTTCATAAGTATCGAGCTGAAAACACAGAAGTTATTCAGAAATGAATTTCCCCTAGTATAAAGCTTAAGGAAGAGTAAGCACAATCCCGGCTAAAACTTGGATCTTTATGCAGGGTATCTTCTAGTCGGGCACACTCTTCCAGCGCACTTTTACTTGTTTATACTGTAGTTAACATGGCAACGCATCGTTGCCACAGACACGCGCCTGTTGCCATACGGCAGTGCTATATATTGTTGCGCAGCTGCACACATAAATATTCATATTCAAAATAATTTTCAGGCACGCAAGCGCAAAGTAATTTAATTTGTGGCAAGTCGAAGCTTTTATGCCCTAACAAGCTATCGAAATCAGATCGATTGCGATAGGCAACTATCGATAGCATCGATACTTCGACTATTGTGAACCTACTTGAGTGGCAAAAACTTTCCGCGTGTTTTGGGTGCAGCGGGCGCGCTTGCATTTTAATATATGTATCAAAATACATAAGGAATAAGTTCTACTATTTTCGGTTTCTTTCAAATGTATAACATAAAGCGTGACTAAGTGATATATAGTAGCTGCAAGAGAATTCAGATAATTATGGCGATTGCATGGTTCACAGACGCGCACAGTGCAGACGGACTGCCTATTGTGAATGGCAAAACTTCCGCAACAACAACAACAACAACAAGGAGAGAAACAAGTACAAAGCATATAGCCGCTGCTATGACCTGTCACAAAAAAAAACAAAACAAAGTTTCGTTTAAAATTTGTATAGCAATTAGACGCACACCAAAGCAATTTACACAAACACACACACACACACACGGACATGTGTAGCAATAGAAAGGGTCTTTAATTCCGCCACAGCGCGTAGAAGTCGAAGAAAAAGAAGTTGTCTTATGTTAATTTTGCCTTTCTGCTTCGCTACGCTGATTCGCTTAATGAACAGGCAGCGGCTGCGGCCGCAGCAGCGACGTCGGCGTTGTCAGCAGCGCAGCAAGTGCAATATGTCAAATAGACAGACCAAGCAGCGAAAAGAAAGACGTTTTCCGCATGGGGGCCAAAAAGCCGCCGCATTGCATGTTGGTCAGCAGCAACTACAACGAAAACAACAGCAACAAATCGCCTGCGTTCACAATATAAACGCGTCAAGCGTAAAGCAATAAATGTGCAAGCGAAAAAGAGAATAAAATAACAAAAGCAGCGTTAAAATCGCTTTGCGTGCATTATGAACTTTGCACGGGCGAGAGAGCAGGCAAGAAATGCGACCATCGCTTGTTACACATTTTCGGCAAAAAATATACCAACAACAACAATGGCGGCTGGCAGCGACGTTGCAGTCGACGTTGGCTGCGCACAGTGCTTAAAAGTGTAGCTATTGCAATTATTGGCATACGACAAGGCGCAGGCGACAACTGCGTCACTTCTGTTATCACATTTGTAAAACCCAACTTTATGGCCGTTCAATCAATAAGGTAAGTGCATTTTTTAATATCGAAAATCCAACCATAAAACCGCTTAATTGGCTGCATTTGATGAGCTTCTAATTGTCCACACCCTGAAAATCGTAAAATTTAACGGCTACAAGTTCATCTAGCTATGCACATGTACTCACACGCACACACACACACACACACACACACACACACACACACACACACACACACACACACATGCACGCGTATGACCCGTGTCTTTGAACCGTTTTACGTTCATTCAGTTCGACTTTTACACCTGTTTTATGCTTCCACTGGCCCCAATGTGCGCCGGCCGCTGCCAACGCCGACGCAGCAGCGTTGCGCTCATCGCGTCGGGTGTAACATATTTTCTTTTTTCATTTTTCTGTGTTGGTTTTGTTTTTTGTTTTTTTTTTACATTTTTTTTTTTTAGCAGCGTACGCCGCGTTTAAGCCCTCTGCTCACAAAACCGACTTTTATTCGTTAATTAACCGTCGTGCGGCGCAGAAGTGCCGGCCGCGCAAAGCCCGCTTAACGGAAGTCCACAAAATCGAAGCTATTGCGGAAACTCGAAAGCGAGGGCGCAAAAACTGATTTCGATTCTCTCGGCGATTGAGCACAAACCGTCACCACCTGTGGCAACACTGGCACCTGCTGTCGCCAGCGTCGCTCTCGCTGTTGACGTTGACGTTGACGTCGGCGCTTTTCACTCGTTTTTCGTTTTCGGTGCGCGTCACAGTTGCATTTCGAACGCGGCACGTGCGCCGTTGTCCAACTTCAACGCCGGCGCTGACTCCTGTTTGCAGTCTGCTGCAGTCGCAGCGAGGCGGCGCGTGCGCACACATTTGAGTTATTATAATTTTATGCATATTGCGCGGCTTTCAATTAATGCGTGTATATTTTTGCGTGCGTGTGTGTGTATGTTAAATGTTAACGCGATTTTGCAATAAGGCGACACCCGCATTCACAGCATAATCAGTTGATCAGTTGATTTTGTCTTATCAGCAGCAGCATCTGTATGATGTTGCTTTGGAAGCGACTTTGTCGACCCCAAGGCGAGCCGGCGGCGACAACGACAACAAATACCTTGGCGCAGCGCAGAGGTAAGTTTGTTTTCGTTTATAAATATATCCAGCTAGCCACGCCCCTTTATTAGAAACGCCCACGCCGCGACGCGCTTTTTTTTAAGCATGTGCAAACAAAAAACATTTAAAAATCAAAAATTGGGAAAGAGAAAAATTGTTTTATTTTTGTTTTTAATTTTTTGATGTTTTTTTTTGACTTTTTTTATTGTTGTACATGAAATCGGTGCGTCTCATTTGCATAATTTGCATCTTAAAATTGTTTCGGTTTCAGTTTCTGTTTTTATTGACTGGTTTATTGATTTCATTTTGTGATTTCGTTCGCCAGACCCAAAACTCAGTCCCCAAAACCCAGTCCCCGTCTCGGGCGCTTAATAAATTACCATCAAATTTTATCACCTACAAAAGATGTATATTCGCTGAGCAGACAAATGCGTGAAGCAGCTTTAAGCCATTGAGTTAAATGAATAATATCTAGTATGTTAATATTGGCTTTTGGTTCTGAGCTCCATTCCTGGGCCTCAGCTCTTTGGGTGGATTCCAGTCGGGTGTGGGGTGAGAATGTTGCCAAAAAGATTTATGAATGAGTTTGGCGTGTTTAACATAATTATGCATATCGCGCAGTCTGCTTAAGATTTAGATACGTCCACAAGATCAATCTATTAAACATGTGCGAGAGACTCTGTTAACGAGACGGGACTAGCAAATGCTCTACGGCCAGGTGAGCCATGCGGCAAGTAAAGGCCATACACCAAAAAGTGGGTTTTAATTATAATTAGAAGCATTTTTGATTTGAGTGTCTTACTCCAAATTTTCGATTATTAAATCGATATTTATCGGAAAAGTTATTAAACTAATCAAATAAAATTGAATTGTTTATTCATTGCGAGGGTCTACACACCGAAATAATCTTAGATTTAGGAAACTCTGAAATCGTAATATAAAAAATAGTATTAACTCAAGCTGCTTAGCAATCGATATTTATCGATCTTGTGGGAAACTAGGGGCCGCTGAAAATTAAAATAACCTGATGTCTGTTTTCATATAATAGAGATTTTTAACTTTTAATAACTCTCAATATCTACAAAATAAAAAGCAGTTTTACAAATCGATATTTATCGGGGAAGAAAAACTAAGGTAACCTGCCTAATATCGATCTTGTTGGAAACTGGGGAACGCTTAACATTAATTTAACCAGATTTTTGATAATATACAAAAAAGGTTTTTAAACCTTAAGATTTGCAAAATCTACAGAATAAAAAGGAGTTTTACAAATCGATATATTGATCGGGGGAAAAACTAAGGTAGAAGGAATTTAAATACAAATCGATGTTTATCGGAGGGAAAACTAAGGTAAAAGGAGTTTCACAAATCGATATTTATCGGAGGGAAAAATAAGGTAAAAGGAGTTTTATAAATCGATATTTATCTGTGGAGAAAAACTCTTGTCGGCTTCTTCTAGCTGTTACCAAAATAAACACAACTTTAGAAGACCCATTTAAACCTTACTAATAAAGTATAGGGTATTTTATGTTATAGCGTGTTTGGAGTTGGGACTGCTCAAGCTATTTATAACGAGTTGGCGTGGGATGTATGGAAATTTCCAGGCATAGCTTCAACGATTATCTAATCATAGTTACCTTTGACTAGTGTCTGGGCACGAGCCTATGTCTAATTGTGGATGCGCTCTTACGCTTCGACTGCCGCCTGGGCGCAACTGTCAGCTCGCATTGCCACAAGTTGCGGCAAGTTGGGATCACAGTGGCTCGCAGTGCCAGTTATTGTGGTTTTCATTTCGTTTCTGTTCGATTGCGACTCCTTTTCCCGCCCTGCTCTCTCTCGCTTTTTGGCTGGGCTCTTATTTTGGTCAACATGACTTTGACTTGTGGTAATTTGATGTTAATGACACTCATCAGCAGCGACACACGAACAACAACAACAACAACAGCAGCAAGAAGCGACATCGACACTGCCTTTGCCCCTTCCCCAGCCCCTGCCCCTACCCCAAGCCTGGCAGCAAACGTCGCACACTTAACACGATTCTAGTAGATCGTTCCGCTGTCCAGCGACATTTTTATGTGGTTCCCAACCGCATCGCAACGCACCGCACCGCACCGCACCTGCCCCGCCCCGAGTCGTGTGGCATAATCGGCTTAGGCTTGGAGGAGAGTCTCTAGCCATGCCTGGGCTTTATTATCACAGTCTCTCATTCTTTCGCTCCCTCCTATCGCTCGATGCGCGCTCCATTTAGGCATTCTTGTTATTAGTTTGTGTCTTGAGTCTTCTGTTTTCGAAACGCCATCAAGTTGCATGTTTTATGCGCCTCGTAAAAACTACGCTCCGATATGCGTATAAAAATGAGTTCAACATTTTGTTGTGACACTTTTATGGGTCGCTTTTCTTCTTCTTCTTCTTATTTCTTGGCATATAACCTGGCAGCGGGTGTTATAAATTTGTCCCGAAATGTCTAACACATTGAAGGACAAGGACCATGTTCTTGATCAGTATGAAGAGTTAATTTATGTACCTTAAATTCGTCTGGCTGTTTGAACTTTAAAATTACAAAGCTAGAGACTTAAAATATGAAATATATATTCAGTTTTAACCTCCTTGTCAAAGAGCGCAGACGTGTAAAACAATCGCCCTAAAGAAATATATCGGGGAAAATTTAAGTAAAATTGAGTTTCTTTTTTGTCTTGAATAGAAACTCCGGATCTCGAGCCAGACCAACAAATATTTATAATATTGAAAGGTCGCCAAAACTAGGAATATATTCTTCTAAACAATAAAGCTAAACAAACAGCAGAGCGAGTTTATGCTTCGCTAATTCCTCACATAATATCGATAAATATCGATTTTGAGACATGTTTAATTAAGCATAACTCGAAAATTCTAAGAGATTATAAGAATTATATACACCAAAATAAGTTATGTGGGTTCTCTGTATTAAGAATATTTAAAGTTTTAGATAACTCCATCCTTTTATAGGAACTATCGTTGGGAGTTTGAGTTTCTCTAAAGATAATCTGAAAACTCAGTAATAACTAGTTTTACGAAGCTCTAGACTATATAAAATAAAAGTAATGTGCATATCTCTGATATAAAAGTATTCAATCTTCATCAAACCGAAAAAAAGGTCCCTTCCATATCGCGCTTATAATCTAGCAAAAAGGTTTGATCCCTTGATAAACCATCTAATGGAAATCCCGTATCTTCGGAATCTCTTACCTCTCTCTTACCCAACCTTTTACTGTCCAACAGAATCTTCTTTGGTTCAACTCCATCTGCACGGGCCGCACAAATTGGCCATAAATTACAAGCAAAAACCGTCGCAGCGCCTACACCATCATTATCAGCTTGTAAATAAAAAGACTTTATCAATTGTTGGGCCCCGGGCGCTGGCATCTCAGCCAACCCAAAACCAGGCGGTACGCGGTATCCAGTGCGATTTGCGCCTGGAACCAACTCTCTCACCTAATAACATAAAAGTTATCGAAATGGCCAAAAAGGAGGAGAGTCGCCACAGAGCAGAGGCTGTGTCGAGGCTGTGTCGAGGCTGTGTCTCGGTCGAGTTGGTCTCGGGCTAAGTACAAATATTTTTATTTATGATTTTACAGATCAGCATATTGCTCAATAATTTTTAAAGCCTTGCCCCACGTACCACGGGCTCGCAACAAAATAACTTTCAAATTATGCTACCCCGCGCCGGGTGGAGTGCTTAAGTGCGCCAATTTTGAAATTATTGGCGGCTGCGTATGCAGATAATCGTGACCTGCTCCCCACACACACACAACATACACACACAACACACAACACACTCGCAGATAAAGATGCAGGCGGGGCAGATGTAGATCGAGGTTCAGGCTCAGGTTCAGGACCAGGCACAGCAGCGCGGCCAATAACTCAGACTGCGCTGAAATACAGTAGAATCTCGATAGGTTGAACAGCGTCCGATATAAGAAATTATACTTTAAATTATAAAAAAATAATAATTGATAAATTAAAATGCGAAATTAGGGATTTAATGCCCATCTAGTCATTTGACTTAAGGTTTTCAAGATAAAAATATTTTGGTAAACAGAATAATTTTCCATGTAACAACCTTCTTTTCGACCGATTCTTCCTATAGAGATTTATATTATAGTTTCAGTATCAGTATATTAGTTAAGCTTCATAGTTTAACTAATAAATCACAATGTCTTAGTAAACAAAAAAGGTGACCATAGGAGAACCTACTTTTCGACTGATCGTTCCTATGGCAGCTATATAATATAGTTGTACGATTCTCCCATTTTCGTCATATGTACTGCCTGCAACAGAAAGACGAACCTATGCAAAGTTTCAAGAAGATAGCTTTAAGACTGAGAGACTAGTTGGCATAGACAGACAAACAGACGTTTAGACGGACTCGACTGTTGATGCTGATCTAGAATATATGTAGAGGATATCAAGACGAAGATTTTATACCCTTGTGAAGATTTTTCTTACATTTACGGACAGACAAAGAGACTACTATATCAACTCGACTGTTGATGCTGATCCAGAATATATACACTCTATGGGATGGGAGATGTCTCCTGCTATGCGTTGCACATTTCCTGACAAAATTATAATTCCCTTTTATAGAGATTATAAAAAGAAAGAACTTACACTTTTAGAGCTGGAGTTGACATATTTTGCAGTTAGACTACCCATGAGCTCCTCTAAAGATCGTAGCCCCGTCTTGAATCGATATTATAAAATAGTATACATTAAATTTAATTAAATTAGAGAGAGTATTGCGCAGTCAGCTGCACTCGGCTGAACTTTCTTACTTATTCTTTTACATTTATCACTTTTTGGTTTACCGAGCTCGCAAAGTTTTCCACATTAACAAGTTCGTACTGTATAAAAAAGCGAACCTGAGAACAAATTGTTGTGCGAAAGTTGTTGGCTTTTGCTTTGGGCGCAACATTTTTGCTAGCTATTTGTATATAGAACTCGTATATCATGACACATTAATTTAATTACTCTATTTGGCA